GGGATGTGGGGTGATATCAGGGGTGATTTTGTAATGAGAAATTAGAGGCTGGCCACTCTTAGGGTTAAAGGGTTAAGATTTTTTCTTTCATTAATGTATTGCAAACTGTACATAACTAGTAAAGCAGATCCTATTTAATGGTTCAGAGATGACCTTTCTACAAGTAACTGGAGTTGAGGCAATGGAAGATATTATTGCATGCTCAGTGTATTGTAGCATAGTATTTAAAAGTTTCCTGTTTCTGAATTCCAGCAGTGGATAACTCTTGTATTCTAGCACTGTTATTTTCCAGCCCCTCTCAGCTGTTCTCAGTTTCTCAGCAGGAGTTAACTGTTGTATTCCAGTACTGTTAATTTCCAGCCCTACACAGCTGTTCTGAGATTACCAGCAAGGAATAAATATTCTTTTACAGTACTTACTTGTATTTTCCAGCCCCTGCAAGCTGTTCTGTCATTTTTGATTTCCAGCTGGAGGTAACTGTTATTTCTAAGCACAATTATTTTCTGGCCCCTCTAGGCTGATTGGAGTTTTCCTGCTCAAGTTGACTGTTATTTTCTGTAAAACAGAATAATATACATAGGGACCCAGGCATGAAGTGAAGAAACCTTCCTTGGAAACCTTGGAAACAAGACAATGTTTTTAATTGCTCAGATCAAAACCAAAAAAATTTACTGTTTGTTAAAAACAATGTTATATAATGTTAAATGTTACATAATGTTAAAAATATCAAGGCCAACAGTAATTCTGAACACAAAATTTAATAAATTTGACACCTGTGGAGTATATAGCATTGCTTATGAATGAGACAAGAATGTGCTTTTAAATTTCCATCATACCTGAATAATGTCTGTGTAAAATTTGAGCTCAAATGTAGTATTTTTAACTTATAAATCTACTCCTAGTAAGTGGCCCTGGCAACCTTAATCTTTACATGTAACTGCCAATAAAATAACCCTCCATCTTCATAAAGATCTAAGTAAGCTTTTAAGGCCTTCCTGTCATTTTTTTAAAGCATGGCCTCACAAACTTTTTCTTTTGGCTCCACTAATAAAAAACATTTAGGGAAAGTCAAATAATCAACAACCACAACTAGTACTTAAATACTAAGTTAGCAATTGACTGAGACACCATTAGCACCACAATAAAAAATGTAAGAACCCTCAACTGGCTGAAACTTGCATCATTCAGTTGCATACTATTCTTCCCACATTTCCTAATAAATTAACCTATATTTAGTGGATACCTCTATAACACAGACACTAGGGAAGGTTCTTAGAGAGGTTACCCTTAATACTTTTATAACTATAAAAGTAATAGCTTTCGCTGCAGTTTAAATTGATTTAATTTTTGAGATACAGTTAACTAATTCTTCACTTATCACACAACAGCTGTGCAAAGCATATCAATTGTAAATAACAAATGTGGAGAGTTACAAATTACTTTCAGTACTTTATAGTGCAAGCAATGTGTTCCTTACCACCATTTTTCAGTGTTTTCTTTCCATTTACAGACTCAAGTGGCTGTAATGAAAAAACAAATTCAAACAATTCTACCTCACTTCCTAAAGCAAGAAATCACAAGAATAAACAAGTGTAGAAACTTAGACATACTTAGGCTAGAACCCTAATTCAAAAATAAAAAAACTACCCCCTGCAAAAAAAAATGTACCACTGTCTTTGGTACCATCCTGTTTCTCCCCTATTTCCGTTTTTTTTTTTTTTCAACTTTTCTTTTCTATCAACTTTCAAACACATACCATGCTTCTTCTTGATGGGAAGAGGTTCCATAAAAAACCCAAATAACCAGAAAGATTACCAGCAAGATAGATAACCAAATGGATAACCAAATGAGTAGTGGTATCAAACTAAAGCTTGTAGCAATTCACCGACCTGACTATTACACCCTATTCTTTTTCCCCAGGTCTATGTGAACTAGATTTTGAGCACAGAATGTAATACCTCACCAAACATCTGCTAGGATGACTCACTTAAAAGTGTGCATGATTATCATCTCTTGCTGAGATAGCACACTGCACTTCAATGTTTTTATTACTACACATATAGGGGCTTTGGTAAGATTGTGGAAAGGAGGGAAAACATTTGAGCAGCTGGGAGGGACAAAAATGACAGTGTGGCAGCCATTTATTCCCACTTGGATAGCAAAGTCTGGGGAACCTTTCCCTGGAAATTTAAAAGTTTGGATGTCCATTTTAGGCCACTATTTCTCAAGTTGGCTAAAAATTATATCTGCTACAAGAGAGAGTGAGGGAGAGTGTTGACACTGATTTAATGAATAGAGTAGCTTTTACATAACAAACTATATAAACATTATATACATAGTAATGTTGTCTCATAGATGATGTCTGTGTGGTCTTGTTTGATTTTTACCTTTGCCTTGCTCAAAAATATGAAATTGTGCCCTGGACAACATTAAATTTGGGGAACAGTGCTGTGATTTCTGACACAGTATATTTAAAGCAATTACTGATGGCAAAGGAATTAATTGGTACTTCAATGATGAATGTAGAGCACAGCAATCAATGTAAACCATCATACCAAAAAACATGGTGACTGGTACATTCACCTAGAACTCTTTTCACAAGAAAATCCTGGAACCACTCAAAAAGTCAAGCAGAAAAAATTGGAAAAATTTAAAATTTGCATACATAATGTTGTTGTTTTGCGAAATATTGCTTTCTACATGTGTCTTACCCTAAGAATAAAGGTAAAATTTACAGGCACCATCTATGTCTGTAAGTGGATTGAATCTATTGGGTAAACACCAGAAAAAATAATAATATTGATACAAATAGGCTGAGGGTTTAGTATAGGTATGCTGTGGTTTAGTTTTATCCTAAGTTTATTCTTTTACTTTTAAAAGAGGCCAAATTGATAGTGACATATCATCTCACCATAACTTAGGCTAGGAGCTAAATTTTATCTTTCTCTACACAAAATGCATTTTTCATTCACATCATTAACAAAACCAAAGGAAACCGATTTTTACACCAAGGACAAGCACAACAGATACCTTTCATCTGCACTTTTGTTTACTTTGCTTTGCTGCTGGTTCTCATCCATGCCTGTATGAATGATATTGAGTAAGGGTGAAAGGATTGGTATTTTCTTCACAAAGATAGTTGCAGAGAGTGTCTCCATTGATATATGGATTACCAGACACTCACAATGAACTCCAACAAGACCAAGTTCTTGCTAACAAGTGTAGGAGCAATAATCGCTAATAATGGGCAATAGTCTGTATTGAATTAAGTATTCATTTGTGCATGAATTAGTATTTATTTCATTTTAATGTTTGTAACACACAATTGAAAAAGTATGTAAAATGTGGTAACAAAATACATATCATTGTGGTATTCCTCATAATTTAGTTCAAGGGGCTTTATTCTAAATAGATCAAAAGAAAGAAAGTAGATAGATAAATAGAAAAGCACATATTATTAAGTGATGAGTAATTTTGCTGCAAATTTGTGCCCCTCTGGGTGAGCAAAGAGAATGATGACCCAACTGTTACTTGCTGCAGAGCGTTAGGAGCCAGCACCCTATCCTTTATAAGAGACCAGATCTTCATCATATGTGTAAGCAGTTTGTAAGTTAACTTTCCAGGATATGTGAAGTTTAACATCGACCATACATCCTAGCTGAATTTTTGCGTAGCCCCATACATTTACAATGAATACATGTCTTCCACTGTACCCATAATAGCCACCAGTGTAGACACTATGAGACTGCTACATGCAACATAATACAAATTATTGAGGCTGGAAGAAAATCACAAGTTTTTGATCATTGAAACACCGAGAGCTGTCCTGGTTTTTAATCGACGTGTAATATCAAGTGTTGCATGTCCCAAACAAAATAAAAAAGTCAGTCCTCGACACAGAAGGATTCAATGAATCCAGGTATCATGCAGCTACATGAAATCTACTGGAATTTAGCACAAAACTTGAACGCGATCTTTGAAGAATGGTTGTAATATTTAAAATTTAAAAAATATAGCATGAAGTGCAACGAAAACGTTACCTTATTGTACTAGCTCCAACAGAAAAGTAAGGAAAGCCATGAGGCAATGTCAAATTCTCGTCTTCCTAGGCTTTCCAACGTATGGAAGGAAATTTCCCAAATACCTCGCACTTAAAAACGCAACCAGAATCTTACTCTTTCACCAATCCGAAGCGTCCCAAAAGGTGTCAAGGATAGCCCACGAAATTCTCAAACTTCGAGCGCGGAAATCTTAACGATCTTTTTACACTTTTGCTTTGCATCCCTCCCCTAGTTGGGAAGTGACACGCAGAAGACACGATCACAACGCACTTTGATTGGAAGAAGTAAAACTGCATTCTATTGGTTATAATGTGTGAGGACATAACCACAACGGAAGACACGACGGCAACGCTACACTCCCCTTCGTCTCAAATCTACCCGCGGGCTGAAAAACGCTTGTTCTGCAGGGCCTGAGGCTGGTCAAACCTTTTTTTCCCATGAGCCCCAAGAAAAAAAAGAATACAAATTAATACAAAACTAACGAATTACTAACTTTAAAATAAGGAAAAATGATAATAATGATAAAAAGAAACGCCTGAACGAAATGGTCGAACACGCACAGCTCGAGATGACGATCTCAGACTGTTTTTTTAGCCTGTTTGTCATTCCCTCTGGAAGTCTCTCTGTAGTCCAATAAGCAGATGAATAGATAAGGAAGAGGTTAACGAACCGGTGACTTGATCAGCTCAGAGGGTCTCTGGCATCTACAGAGAAAAACAAACAACTATGTACACCACGGAGACAGTGCCAGAGATAGAGGCATTTTTTTTTCGGTTTTTTACAGTTTTTTAAATATCTCAGTGTTTTTTTGGTGTTCCCATACTCGAATCCCTATTATTTCCCAAAACCAACCAGCCACACTAACGCTCTGTCAAGGAGACTGGGAATGAATTAAATAAAAAACCGGTTTAGCAGGTTTTTTCCTAAATGCGCGAAAAACACGAGATTGGAAAGTATGTGCGTTTAGACCTGCTGTTGTGAAGCTCTTTTATTTCTTAGGAGTATCGATAGAAGTTATCCACAATGGCTGAAGGTGAAAACGAATGTAAGGTCTACGTTGGTTCTTTAAAGTTTGAGACGAACGAAGATCGGCTCAAAGATCATTTTAGCTCGATTGGAGCCGTTGTAAAAGGTAAGCTTACGCTCTTTTGAATGTCTCTCTCGTTTTTCTTTTACATCTAAACCCAAAGCTTATTCATGTTGCCTAAAACTGACCTTTGAAAGTAACACGTGTATCGTGTTGTAAAAAGGATGAATCTTTATTTGTTTGATCGTTAAATAAGTGGTAATCGTACTTTTCTTGAAATTGATGAAACGACACGTTTTTCGACATGAATTTCATATTTCGGAAGCACGCGGTCGTAATGTCGGTCAAAATGTGTCAGGCATCTAATTAAACGGACCTCTTCCGAAAGGATTTTATCGTCATCCATGCATCTTTTGGTAAAAATTGCCAATTGACTAAACAAATGGATTATCGAGTTGTAGTAGATATTTTATAAATTGGATAAAGTAAGAGTAATTTCCTTGTAATACATTGCGCATCCTTTCCGTGCGTAATACTCAAGAGTGAGTAGCATTGACCAGCATCGACTCATTTACAAAATAACAACTTTTTCTATGGTTGGGGAGCTTGCTATGATGCAAATGGTGAATCCTTGGAATATGTGGATGTGGTTTTGGATGGATGCTCTAAATGTGATGGTGATTTGTTTTCAAAAAGAGGCTGGAAGAGTGGTACATGATGCGATGAAAAGGACTAATGGTGTGTCCCTCTGAAAGAACTTTCTCTTGTAACAATTTTCGTTGGGATAAAACTTCCTAAACTTACTTTTATGTCAAGAATGGTCTTAAAACTTTCCTCCCCTTATTTTAGCAACCTTTGTCCTATTTTATCTCTGAAAGGCCTTGTTAGTGTCTTTGTTCTTCTAATCTCTTCATAACCTCTGCTTGTAGTATCTTCAAAGTGATTGGCACAAACACTAGTTTCTTTTTTCAGCAACATGATGGTGAAACAGTTTTCCATTAGAGTGGTGCATGTCATCTACTCTTTTCAATCGATGTTATGAAATGCTTTCATAGTCCTACTCGAAATTACCTCTTTTACTTTGGAATCATTTAGCATAAATAGTTCATGTTTCTAAGAGACTTGATTTCGGTACTTAATTATCATCTTTTTGGGAAAAATTATATACCATCAACAGCCTATGCTTCTTTTGACACACCTGTTGAGGACCCCAAAAGTGACCTCATCCTCTATTTGTTCAGAACCTTGTGTCCATTGATAAGGAAAAAGATCAGTTAAAATCTTGGACCACTTATGCACTCTAATTGAGGAAGTTAATGAAGTGGCACATGAGAGCCATATTAGCCTGTGGTGGGAACTAGATCTGTTTTTAAGCAAAAGAATAAGGAAGTTATTGAAGTAGATTTCCTTGAAGCACACAGAACTTATCAGTCAAACATATTTAGACTCTGCATGGAACCAAAGGATAAACTGACAAGCAGAGCCATCATTTGGCCAGATTTGTATAGGTGTGGTCAAATGGAAGATAACTTCTTTTTTTGCTAACCTTTTGACAGGAAGTAACAGTATGCAAAGTTTCATTGATTGTCTAATGTAGTCTATTTGTTTGTTTCCAGAATTCCAGTGTCTTGTCATCCATGGATTATGTATTTTTCATGTCAGAGAATATGAACTGAGGCACTGTTTTTTGGAGTTTCTCCCCTCTCACTCCCTAGAACTCATTAGTAGTTCTCCTTACTGTCTGCTACACAATTCCTATGATGTTATTTCGGAGAAATTGGTATTGAATCAACAAATAATTCTCTAATTGATATTTTCCTTACTCTCCTCACTTCTCTGTTTGATTTTGTTTTGACACTGTAAGGAGAAATTCTGTCTTAATCACTCATGGGAGTTAAGGGGAGAATAATTTTCTAAGCATGGTTATGAGTGAAGTGTCCATCAGAGAACTGTCTACAAGGATTTGTTTCTATTATTTCTATAGCTCAAGTCATAAGGGATTGGGAGACTGGAAGATCTAGAGGGTTTGGTTTTGTCACCTTTAACGACAGTTCATCAGTAACAGAAGCATGTGAAAGGCTTAATGAAACGGTAAGAATCTGATATACTCAAGTCTATCACAAAATTGTTTTCTCAGCTGAGAAATATAAATAACCTGTTGCGTTTCTAATGGCATTGTCAACGATGCTGCCTCTTATAGGCACTCTAATATACGACAGTACATATATTTTGATGAGGTGTTTACAATAAGCCACTTTGCTAAATTCCATTTAAACATGGATTCAGTGAATGAACCAATTTGTGATTGTTCTGTGCTAAGTTCTGCCCATTTATTCCTTCCTTTACATATCATTTGTTCGTTCATTTACTTTTTATTCACTATTTTTGTATCTACTATCATTATCTTACTTAAGGTCTACCACCTTAAAAGTTTATACTTTTTTCGTTATCAAAAGAGTGAGATTTCTCTAAATTTTACCCATATTTTAGGAAATATTGTGTTGACATCTGATAAGTTACACCAAATAATCTTGACTTTGTGTATGCATACTCAACGTGAAGCAAACTTGGTCCTGGATAAAGTTGGTGCATGCACTTTAAATGTTTGATTTTTCTACTGAGGTATCAAAAATTATTTTAGGGGAATCAGTTAGTGTCAAATTTAAATCAGGTGTTAGGAACTTTCCTGTCCTTAAGAAAATGATATTTTGAATCTGCATAATGTTTTTTAGCAAGCAGGTTACAGTTTGTTAGCCCAGCCAAACACTTGTGAGAGGAGAATACAATGAAGGTTATAAACTAGCACCCAAGACACTAAACCAATGAAAGCTTAAGAAAAGCATGAAAAATTATGGTTATAGTAATATGAGTGTCTCTGCTTAGAGGTCTTGTTATTGATAGCCAGGAAGTTTTTTAGTTCACAAGTTCATGATGGTTTTTAGCAAGCTGGTCACCATATCACAGTTTGTTAGCACAGCCAAACACTTGTTGAAGGAGAATACAATGTAGGCTACACACTAACACTCAAGGCACTAAACCAACCAAAGCTTAAGAAAAGCTTAAAAAGTTATGATGATGGTAATATCAGTGTCTTGTCTAGAAGTCTTGTCATCGATAGCTGGGAAGTTTTTTAGTTCACAAATGATCTTTTTATTCATTCCAGTTATGCATGCTGGGTACTAAATTATGAAATTTGATTCTTGCAATTAATAATAAACTCAGTATAAGATAGGCAATCCAATGATGTAATCATTTAGGGTGGCATTGACATAGTGCCACATCAATAACAACAGTAGTGGGCATTGGTCAGAAACAAAATCTTTTGATGAGTAAGATTTTATTATAATGCTTGTTTGACTGTGCTAAACACTGCAACAAAACAGAAACATTAGTTCTAATTTGTCTTCAAGGAACTTGATGGCAGAACAATCAAAGTACATAAAGCAAACTCCCGTGGTGGAGGCGGCAGCTCTGAAGGGCGGACTAGAGGAGGCCGAGGAGGCAGAGGTGGAGGATATGGCAGAGGAAGACGTGGTGGTTTTAGTGGAGGTAAATTCATAATGTTGATGCAAACTTGCATGAACCCACTTATGACTGACCTTCATAGATCTACATGGTTGTTTCTCTCTGGAAAGGAAATGCCAGTTCTATTTTGGGCATCACATTGTTAATCCAAAGAAATGGTAACCTGCTCACTCCCAAGATCTTATGTCAAACTCATTATGATCTTAATCAAATGAATTTCCTCAGTTGATATTTTTCATTAAGCCCATTACCTGTCTGTTTTATAGTGTATTTTAACATTCTCTATCTGGCCTTGTTATGTTTTTTACAGGACCCAGTTTAAATAAACTGAACATGCCAGCTGTCTAAATATTGCAAATAAATTAATAAAATTTAGGACAGATTGAGAGTCCATTCTAGCATTACCATTAGAATTTTATTGTGTTTCCTGTTACTTACTTATGTTCTGCTAGGGGTAGACTTTGAGAGTTAGGAGTCTTGACCAAGAGTGAGTGTGTCTGTTAGATGTTCCCCTGATTATTTGGCTTCAAAATTTATTTACTTTTTTTTTTTGTTTCATTTTCCATTTATTCAGTTTGGCTAAAAATCTTACTTCAAGGCAGTTTTGCAATTTTGTGTCCTTTCTTTTTAGCAACACAGTGTGCCTTCAGACTCACCAAAATATCACTTACATGTATACCATAACAAATGGCATTAACAAGTACAACAATTGGCAAGTTTCACAGTTGTTCATTTAGCCATATTAACCAAGACATTAAGAGTGGTTAAGCCAATTTTATGGGCTATTGTTTCTCTTTGGTAGGTGGTGGAGGCTATGGAGGTGGGAACTTTGGGGGTGGTTCAACCTATGCACAAGGCTACACTGGTGGTGGTGGTGGTGACGGTTCTGGAAACTACTACTACAGTGGTGGCAGTGGTTATAATTATTAAAAAGGACATGACCACAGGTAAGGTAAAGATCCAATATTACCTTGATGATAGAGATGTAGTTGTTCTTCTTAGGCATTATATCATTGTATATAATTGGGGATGATGTTCCTTAATAACCCTGTGTGACTTGATGTAGAATATTGCATTTCTGCAATAGTTGCCAGGCTTCTTTTTAACAGGAGCAAGGCTGAGAGTTACCTCATTATACACTGAATAGAAATATTGCAGACTACTCGGTCAGCCTGGGTTAAGTTGTAAACTTACAATCTTACTGTTTATTAATCAAAATCAGGAATGGTTCTGTTGGGTGATGTTTTCATGATTCAAGCTAGGTTTTTAGGGGTGGGATACAATTTGCACAAACTTGAATGACTCAATTTCTTCTGTTTGTTCATTTTCTAAAAGGCCATCTGTTCTACTTCCGTGATTCAACTATGTTCCTGTCAGTCTGTTATGCATTGATGTGCTGAGGTCATAGAACAAGACATAAAAATTCAGTTTGCTGTCCTGAAACGTGATGAATGATAAACCTCAGCTTATGATGTTTAGTGCTCTGAAGTTTCCTGTGTTATTGTCCTGTGTGCTTACTACTATGAAAACCTCAGCTAATGATGTTTGGCTCTCTGATGTTCTGATGATCCATTTATTGTGCAGAAATGGTTACTTATATGAAGAGCAGAAATTCATACATATTTTAAGTTCTTGTTAATTTAGTTTAAGATGTTTAAACAATTTTTTTTCTATGCTTGCCTGTTCAAAATAGTTGAAAAATGATTATTGTACCTTATTAAAAAGAAACATCAACTGTGTTGTCACCACTACTGAAAGTCCACTTTCCAATCCAAAGTGCCATTTTTTTATTATTTTAATATATTCCTGGTCTTTCCTTGTATCATGAATTACAGCTACAAACACAAAAGAGTGTCAACAAAATCAGCCTTGTTTTCCTTTAAACTCCATGTGCGTTTGAATAGATAGTTTGTGTTTTTGTAGGCTTTTAGGAGGATTTCTTTTTTTTGGTACATCATTATGGTAATTATAATGTACCATAGTATTATTAGAGCAGTCAAGTAAACTTGAGTCACTTGATTTTGTTGTTGATTTTCTTGGTACATTAAAATTATCATATTTGAATTATCTATAGATGGAGATTGGATTTGAGGATATCTAAGGGGGGATGGGCTAGGTTTTCTTTGACCCATAACCCTTTGTAGCCTAACCTTGGCATTCATATTCTCCTCACTGTTATCGTAACATTTTTTCTGGAACTAACAAGGAGCATTTGTTCGACATTGTCTTAGAAAAAAGCCCCTTTATAAAGGTAAAGCCAAAATAGGGATTTAAAATTTAAAACTAACCTTAAGCTCTATGTCCGGCAGCCAAACAATTTTCACAGAATTTCCACTCAAAAATTATTTCAAACCTCTAGAGATTAACAGAAGTTGTATAGAAATTTCAAGTAATTCCAAACGTGGGGGAAAAAGGTAATTATAGTAATTTGTTAGCGTCGTGTGCGTATGCTTCATGGTGATTAATTTGAATCTGGCCTTTTTTTTTCCCCCTTATTCTTTCATCGCTTTTTTCTATGACAAAGTTGATACAATTAGATGTATCTGTAAAAATGTGGCAAAAACATGAGAGGGACACACGAGCCGGTTAATGATGTCTGTACCACGTTTTGGTGTCTTGTGTGATCTTGGAAAAAGAAAGAATGAGAACAAAGGGAATTCCAAACTACTATGTTTGTATTCATCGGTTAAAGATGAAATCTGACGTTTACTCTGACCTATAATTTGAACAGGCAAACGCTAAATAGAAGTAAAGTACTACATTGCGATGAGCAGGGATTGAGAAAAGACCGGCAACCTGAGCGGGTAAGATGGGCGCTTTTTGCATATGGAATCACAGGAAACGCCCTTAAACGTTGTTTTCCTCTGTTCGAAATTGTCCACTTTGTTCCCACGTCAAAGGAATTTGTATTTATAGTAGCTGACTACATCCGTGGCTAATTTGTCATTTTTTTCTCTTTCTTTTTTTCATTCTCCCTCCTCTTATTCGTCACGTTACAAGAAACAACGTTTTTCGGCAGTTATGATATCAGCAGTGTTCGCAACGTTGCGTAACAGTCCTATACGGGTATTGTGAACTTCCTGTCATTTATCAGTCACGGTTGGTAACGCATAAATTCTTTTACTCGCGTTAGAAAGGGGGTCGTGAATGGAACTGTAAAAGAATAACTACGGCGAAGTGCAGGAATAACAAGACCATTTGATATATCAACTGAGTTGATAATGTAAACTGGCCACCGTAACGAGTTAAATTCAAAACTGACGTTTCGAGCGTCAGCCCTTCGTCAGAGCGAATGAAGCGAACTATACGACGTTGCAAAGAGTTTCAAGGCTGATGTTTCGAACGTTAGCCCTCCGTCAGAGCGAAGTGTAAGAATAGCCGATCTAGTCTTGGTGACAGTCGTATCTCTTTCGTTGTATTTACTTTCTTCTCCGAACTCCTCTGAGGTTCAGAACGTTAGTTCTGTTGTTGATCAGGAAACCTCGTGCTCGTTTTCAGACCAATGACAGACAGTAGTAGTCAGGTGACTTAGAAACTGGTTTGACCAGAATTTCTAGGACTCCGTGCCAAGTAAGAAAGAACACGAGGTGTGTGCAGTCAAAATGGAGGAGCACAAAATCTATGTTGGTAATTTAAGCTACACCACTGACGATGAATCTCTCAAAATCTGTTTTGAAAAAGTAGTGGAAGTTGTAGAAGGTTAGTTATAACACGGCCTAATCTAATGGCTGGTGAGCTTTTTAATCAGTTCTTAGAAGGAAATTCGTTGTAAGAAAATTTAAGAAAATGGCGCAATTTATTTCAGTGTACGTTCGCGGCGTTCATGGTCAGTTTTCTAGTTTATTATCATAACAATCGTCGGGTTTTTCTCTGTCAGTTGTGTCTCAATCAAGGAAGAATTTGGAATCTAAAGAAATTACGTGAACAGCTATTATAATGGTAGCTTCACGTCATGTCGCCATCGAGCACGCGGTGGGTTGATGAGAGAGCGAGGGAGTTTTCGAGAACTTCACTCATCAGTGTAAATCGTTAAGCATTGACTTTATAGCTTTATAACTAACATGGGAAATGCAAGCCACGATCGTACTAGAGTGTACTGATCGTTAGCAATCCAGCGTTATCGGCTGTTAGAGTGAGAGTTGATGATTCTGATACTACAAGGTCCGTCATTGACCGAAGGTGGAAATCGGTAATCTCGAAGTTGTGTTAAGAGATATTCAATTGGTGGTGCCCACAAAAATCTCCTAAGTTTCAAGTTGTTAAAGCTGTTGTTGAGGGGAATATCAGAACAAACAGTGTACTTTTCCCAGCCTTCGAATTGACAGGGAAGCCGTGAAATCGGAGAAATTACGTCTTAGATTTCAGGTGTTGGCCTATTTCCACAGTTTTGTTTGTTAATCTCACGCAGTGGCAGAATGGAGTTGGTGACTTATTCCTGTGCTATTTGTGCGGTTTCAGTTTTAAAGCAGAAAATTTAAATTAGGACTTGCTAACTAACCAATTCTTTGGGTGAATTAGCTAATAAAATTCACATAGAAATAGGTCAAAAGGTAGACCTACAATTACCTATGAAAACTCAGTGATAAGAGTCATAAACTTTTAAAGTGTGAACTTGAGTATACTTTTGGAATTCTTAGTAAGGTGTTTTCGTCTCAATGATTCTTGATTTGTGTTTCTGGAGAGCAACTATTGAATTTTAGATAAGGTGGAATTGATGTAGTAGGTAGATCTAGATTTAAGCTTGTCATTATGTGGGTTTTTCAATGGTTCTGTTCGAAAAACATCTACAAAGAGGTGGAAGAAACTTAAAACTTGGGTACTTTTATCAGATAAATTATTTGTTGAAAGAACAGCATCAACATCTCATCACAAGAGTTCCTTGTAGATAGGGTTGGTTTATTTTTGTGGTGTCTTGAAAGTTGTGAATGTATTCTCTTTTGAAGAATTAGAAAAATTCCAAACAACAATATAAATTTCTTATGTGTGAACCTCTTTGCTTTTCAACAGCTAAAATTGTCATGGAACGAGAAGATCCAGGCCGATCAAGAGGGTTTGGCTTTGTAACAGTGAATTCAGCGGATGATATCCAAAGGGCGGTTGAGGAATTGAATGAAACTGTAAGATTTGACTTTTCTAATGCTCAGATTGTATTTTGCACACAATTGTTTTTAGTTTAGGCAATCTCATCTTGTCCCAAGGACTGAGTCAGTTGCTCAGTTTCTCTATACAATATCACCCCTGGATCAAACAGTAGGGTCCTGAGAATAAAGGAAATGATCACCAATAAAATAACCTTGATTCTTAAACAAATTCTTCTTATCCGCACTCAAGGACATGCATAGAGAGCAGTATGGAGCAGTATATTAACATGTGATAAGTTATTTCTTCTTGGCTGCACACAAATTGTGAATTAATTATTAATTCTTGCTTTTAAAATTCATGTTGTGTATAGGCAGTAATGATAAAAGATGTGTTTTTCTCTCTCAGTGCTTTAGAGAAAAAACAGTTTCTGTTTTTGAATTGATAGAAAAGATATCAGAGGAACAGTTTAATAGTTTTAAGACTATGTGAACACTGCTTACTTTAAAAATTCTTGAAAGGATTTGGATGGTCGAACAATCAAAGTATCAAAAGCAAATGCAAGAGGTGGAGGAGGCGGAGGAGGTGGTGGTTACAGACGGGGTGGAGGAGGAGGATTCCGAGGTGGCAGGGGAGGCAGAGGAGGAGGTGGAGGATACAGAGAAAGGAGCTATGGTGGAGGAGGTATGACTAGCCATAACATTTCTGGCAGATAGGCTGAAGTTTCAGTAAAAGCCAGCTATCAGCAGTCTACCACCACTGTCTGGTTATCTTGCAAGCAAGCTCTCGAGTTTGGCTTTTGCCTTACAGCACAGCCGCTTATGGTAAAAGCTATAGAGGCCCCCTGTTGCTGACTCTTACTGCAAATATCATCATGTCTGAGTTGCTTATGTACATGTGACTTCTCACTTCCCTTTGGGAAAATTGCTCTTCAATTTTTTGGATACACTAAAGATGTTATCACAATTATCTCCAGTACAACCCTATTGCCTAGTTGATAAGGTATAGTCCTGTAAAATTAACATAGAAAGCAAGTTTGAGGGCATATCCAACAATTGACCAATTTGTAGGACAGTCCAACACTCAGCAATATGGAAAGTCTGGTAAATGATGTAAAGACAAAGAGAAGTGAAGTGAATTAATTGTCTAGAGCAATGCTAGGAAGTTGATATTTTGGTTAGTTAACACTTTGCATCTTCCTAAAAATCAATCAAAGTGTTGTGTTTTTTCTTTCATAGGAGGTGGTTATGGGAGCAGAAGTTATGGAGGAGGAGGTGGCGGAGGTTATGATGGTGGGTACGACGATGGCTACTCAGGTTCTTATTCTGGAGGAAATCAATACCGAAAAGGTAGTGCACATTGAAATGTATTTTCGTATTAGACAAGAGAAAATGAGGATATGCAGAGAGAAATTCCTGTTTCATATCCCCTGGATGTATCATTTCCACCAAACATCTAAAGTTATTAATTGTCCATTGTATGAAATCCTTTTTTTTTAAGTCATCTGGATGAAGGGTAACCTCAGTTCAGTGTCCTAACTGGCAGATGTACATAATTTGTGACAGTATGGTGAAAACTCAATAAAAGATAGAAAAGTATCTTTCTCCTTGATTAAAATTTTAATGTAGAATTAACAAAAATTGACTGAGCTTTCAGTCTTTTAGTGAAACAGATTTAAGTGGATTGAGCATATTTTAGTTACTGTCTTTCCCTTGATCTCATTTTCTCTTGAAATGGTATGTTTAATGCGTGTGTTGTTTAAGTGTTTATTGAATGAAAATCTGGCTTGTGTCTGTTTAGCTCCATTAGACCTGTGGTTTTCTCCTTTGCTGAAATGATATCTGAAGGAGAATGAAGTGTTTGGGTTAAGGCCTCACTCATCATTTTTTCAGGCATAATGCAAACTGATTACCAAAGTGATGCACATTTTGGGGTTTTGTCATTTTTTACTGTAATTTGGAGTTACTCGAGGAGTCTTGAGCCTTTCTGTGAGCTCATCAAGGCTTTTGTAGATTGTAGAAGGAAATCATGATGATTTCCAGACTAGTTCTCTAGACCTATGCTGTTTATTTATAGCAATTGGATTAAAATGGAAAAGAGATAGTGAGGTATTTACACTTGTGACCATATTAATGAAAACTGACAGAATTCCATTTTCCACGTTGGGCAAGTTACAGATAAATTTGCCCACTAAGTTCTATTTTGATGAAATTTAAGATAATGTGACCCCTGGTACACTGCTTTTTATTCAGTGGTGACTCCTAATGATTCCATTTGTTCTGTTTGTCCATTCTCATAAAAGGCCGTGACTGGTAATGATCTGTTCAACTTCCGCGATTCAACTCTGTTCCTGTATATGCATTGATGTGCTGAGGTGCTAGAACAAGACAAAAAAATTCGGTGTGCTGTCCTGAAACTTGATGAATGATAAACCTCAGCTCATGATGTTCAGTGCACTGAAGTTTCCTGTGTTGTTGACCTATGTGCTTACTGCTATGAAAACCTCAGCCAGTGATGTTTGGCTTTCTGATGTTCTGATGAAATATGTCTTAGTAGAAATAGCTCATTGTAGCAGAGACCATATACTCATTTGTATCTTTATTGACTACTTAAGCACAAAGAATAAGGTTTTTTTTGTTTTGTGTTGTTTTTTTTTTGTATTTATTCAGCCAACACTGTTGGTTTTGTTCCTTTTTTTACTGAATATTCCATAACTTAGCCCTATTAAAAGAAAATGTTTTGCTGTGTCCGTTGCAAGTGATAAAAAGGGTTGATATGAACAACAGTGGTTTGAGTGCATATGACAAAGAAAGGAGTCATGAAAAATAATCAAGTCTGTCTATCAAATTCATACCCACAGTTCTAATGGTGTTGGTCTGTTCAATTGGAAACTGGGGCAAGGTGGTTTCCTTGAAGACTTAATGGTTATCGGGAAGTGATAACTACTAAGTTCCCTTTGGTGTCCACATTACTAGATTACAATAAACTAGACCTCAAAGTCGTGAGTGGTTTCAAAACAGAGTGTAAGAATTTCAAGATAATTTTTTCCCTTCAGTCTGCTTGGCTCGTCAATTATCAAAAACCTCTGGTTGACAAAATATTTCTGTTATATAGTTGGCAGGGTATAAAGGAACAGAATATGAGATGACAGTGATTATTCAAATGGGAAAGGATATCGTTTGAGAGTATTGCTCTCACTTTTGTGGTCCCAAAATATCTTAAATTTATAGGTCAAGGTTCAACACAGGAAAAGTTTGATGTGACATCACTTAAAGGGCATATGTAGAAGTGACCTGATGTAGCATGCAAACATTTGGTGGTGCCAAGTCTTGCACTGTTGGGAAAAAAAAAAAGTTTATAAGTGAAGCATTCCAGACCTTGAAAAAGTATGAAAAGTAGAGATAAAGTGTGGCATGAAGCCAAGGGATTATGTTTTGGATCAAGAGGATTAGATTTTGCAGCCAGGATTTCATGGAAAAAGCTGTTTTTTTTTTTGTTTTTTTGTGTTTTTTTTGACAATGCAGTGGTAAGGTTGAGACTTTTCTCACCTTCGTCTTTGAAATAATTGCCACACTATGGGTGCATTCTTTTTACAGTTCATGGTTTTCTTCTTGTTTGGAAATAATTTTGAACTTTACATGCTGAAAATTTTCACAAAGTATCATGGAACATCTTGCAAAGTTTCAATTTCTTTTTCCCTGTCTTATACAAAGGCGTATGAGATAGGCTGAAAGGGTAATTCTTTAAAGATTTTGAAAAAATCTGAAATTGAATTGAGTCATTGCCATCGCACCAATTCTCCAGTGCTTTGGATGGAGGGTACAATTCTTGTGCTGCAGTTCCAGGTGAGGATTGGTGGTTTTGTCAGGAGGCAGAATCACGTTCCCGGAAACGCCTGGTATGTTTATGGCCCATGGTAAGTTGATGTGTTTCGTTATTGTGCTTAGGTGTTTTTTTTTCTTTCTGATTTCTGGACTGTCATGTAGTGAATTACTGAGTGGATTTCTCAAACTGGTTAATTATTTTACAAACTTGAGATAGCGTTGATATAGCTCAGTTTAGTCCGAGGGCGAGGTCACAACTTGAAGGATTTTTACGAGGAATTTTCTTTCATTTCAACTCTTGTTTTGGAATCACTACTATTATTTTGCTACTTATATGGAGAAGAAATTAATTTTTTTAGGGTGCCAGGGGTAATCCTCTCCACTTGAATAGGAGTATTGTTTCTTGTTTTATTTATATATATATATATATATTTTTTTTTTTGTTTTTTTGTTGTCATTTATATCTTTCTCTTCCTTTTTTGTGGTTTTTGTCTAGCATTACGTTGTGAATATGTCGCTGGGACTCGAAATTGACTTAGAAAACAGTAGTTCTATTAAACAGCTTGTAGTCCCTCTTAAAAATGAGGCATCGCTTTCCCGAATTTGGAAAGAGGTTAAAATTTCGTTGAGCTAAGAGCTCCCACACATTGACCATTTTAGGTCTACGAAGACGTCTTCGGGACCAAGGCTTGAATTTAATAGAGCGGACGCGGTTACGTAGTCCACAAAGCTGAGCTTTAAGAGGGGAAATACAGCAGCTTTCCGGAAAGCCTCCAAAGCTCGTTTGGTAATTGTGCGGTAGTGCTACGAATGAAAGCCACAATCAACTGTCCTTTGTGTATGTCAAGAAGTGTAGGACTGTGTGCGTGACCTTTTGGAGTGAGAATCGTTGCTGTTTCCCCACATTTAATAAATTTGCATCGCAGTAGTCCCGTTGTCTGTGGTGCAGTTGCTAATAGAACTTTTCTTTTAGAGTGAAGGGTTTCCTGATTAACATACAGCGAGTCATTTCAATTAAAGTGTTGTTACTGTATAACCTGTTTCTTGTAAAAGTGGTGGTTTTCAAACACATTCGACCGTTGACGTACTGACACTATCTTTAAAGGCCCATCACTCAACCATGCAAGATTTCCAGAGGCTAGGTCCCACTAAGGAGGAGTCGCCCACTGAAAGTCGATTTCCGACTCTACCCAACACCCCGTTACTTAAACGTGTTTCGGAGAAGCAGTCGTAGCGTCTTGATTTGTCGTTGGGATCATAGGCAGCCAAATTGCATAAAAGTATGAAGAGAAACTGTAAATATTTGCTACTCGGGTTCTCACCGCTACAGTCCTTTGATCTAACTGACCCCCTCTACAAGTTGGACTCAAACTAGACCAGACGTCTGTTATTCTAGGTTTCAGATTACGTAGCCATGGGAAAACTATAAGTGAAGGAACGGGAATGGTTATTATGTACCACCGAGAGGCTTGACATCTTGGACCTGTCTGTCTGCCAACCTCTGTATGCTGGGAGCATCCTCAAAGTGAGATCCAACAATATACGCGTAGTGACTTGTCACGGTCGTGGTCTGGGTGCAAATCCCAGGTTGGATATGAAATAATCCGAGTATGATTTTTCAGCATGCGTGGGTTAAAACACCATTTCTCTCCTCTCCCCCTTCCCCCCCCCCTCCCCCTTTAGTCTTATCTGGATAGCAGGGGATCAGATTCGGTGAGAGTGACGGTCAGGAGATGAAACCTCAATGGCTACTACTTGCGTATTTTGTTTGTTTTTATTTTTGTTTTGTTTGTTTGTATTTTTTTTTTTTGGGGGGGGGGAGGTAGGTAAGGGTTTGATTTTATCGCATTTTTTACTGTCAGGTGGTTCATTTGAACAGGGATTCACTCCATATTACTGCCAGAAGGTAAAAACTTAGTTAAGTCTACACCCAAGCTAATTAGTTAGTACTGTGTAGCGTGTCCTTTTTCTATCAAAGAGAAAGGACGATTACCAAGACCTAAAGGGTTGGTGATAGAAACAAATTGCAACGAAACCTCTCGTTACTGTCATATCTAAAGCTTGTCCGGAGAATCACCCTGTGTACATTTGATGGAAGGTTTCAAACTGAGGCCACGCCTTAGGAATGACTGTCGAAAATTGTAGTTGTACGCGCTGCGTTTTAACTGGAAGTATACTCGGACTACTCCAGCTAGTTCACGTGCATTTCACTTAATTAACACGACAGATACTTTAGATCAACCAAACTTGATTGGGATTACCATGACACAAAGTCAGCTGATGGCCAGGGCGGAACTCAAACCCAAATTGCGAGAGTGATGCACTCAACCATGCTGCGCTACAATCAAAAATTTTTAATCATAGTTAGACGAGACAAAACCGTGTTAGAAAGAGGACACTTTTATTTCGTTGTTGTTATCTGCCCCATTCTGCCCACCAACATTTACTTGATATCGTGAGCAAGAGGTGAAAGGTTCCATGTGGGTCACTGCATGAGAATAATCACGTCTTACTGAAACTCCTTTTTAGGAAATTGTGCTGTTTCCCCTCCAAATAAGAAAAGTTTTTCACCCTTCAGAGCTCCACATAGTGAGTGAGGTTATTACGTTATTACCCTCAAAAGTGATCATATCAAAACCGAGTACTTTTTCTCTCATGGGTTTTCAGGGAAATCACCATGCTCTTCAGGTTGCATGTAAAAGGCTTGGCTTGGGCCAGGGACAGTGTTAGGTAACTGCGCCTGCGCGGGAAACACATTTGGCTGCTGTGGAACGTCACTTCTTTGTTGCATGGCCGCTGGAATAGCTACTTGCTGGCTTATAGGTGATGCCTCCGCTACGTTACCAGTGGAAGCTTGCATCTTCATAAACTCTGCGAATTGGTCATTGCCGGGAGCTTCTGGAGCGTTAGGTGTTTCGTCCTTCTTGGTAGCAGCTGCTGCACCAAAACTGCTGGCTCGCCATTGATCGAACACTGCATTTGCTTGAGATGCTGGGGGCTGCTGTATCTAAGGAAATTTTGTGGTCAAGAGTAAGTATCAATTACACAATGTATTTTTGGTTGGTTCGAACACTACATGCTTCCCACTCCCGACGCCAGTTTTAATTCAGTTGATAAGAGCATGGTAGCCGTAATTGAACTTCATATCAGCAGTGGTATAATATGTTGTTCAGTTAAGAGAAAAAATTTCAAAACTAAGCTTTTCAAACTTACTTAAGATGTAGTTGCACTTCTTACAAACAATCTCGAGAAACTTGGACAAATTGCCGGAGTAAAAGGCAGTCACATGGGGTAGTGTCGTTCCTTGCGAGCTGGGTGGAAATTTTGCCCTTATCAGATTGCTGGACCGGAACGTAAGACATTCGTTACCTTCATTAATTCTCATGAACTCTTTCTCTCTCTCTCTCTTTTTTTAAACTAACCTGTGTCTCAGCGTCTAGTATGGTGTTCTTGGCCATAGCATTCATGGCCATATTTGGATCTGCGGAATGGAAAGGAGCAGGATTGGCTGGGTACTGGTTCGTAGGATTTGGAGCGAAAGCTGCTTGAGTCTGGTCGGGAACTGGATTCTGAACTGGTGCTCCGTTATATGGAGTCTGGGCTAAAAAATATTTGGAAACTTGATGAATACTTCGATATTTCAAGTTTATTGCAAAGCTTAGACACTAAAGAAATCTCCTATCAAAATGAAATGAAAGTATTTGCGCTTATGTTTCCTCAGGTTTGATCGGTTTGTAAGACAATAAGTGAACTATCGCCTTTGTGGTGGAATGGAAATGCGTTCTATTCTTCGCTTTGGGAGAGAGATGTAAGATGGATGCACCGTGAAGTTAAGTATCTTTGCATAGGTTTGTCCATGTCAATGGTTGAAAGTTCATGATTGCGATGAGCTCTGAGTTGAGGTAATCGTCATGTATACACTGTATGAACTGGTTCTATATGTTTCAAAATCGCTCGGTCAATAATCGTCGAGTTCTGTCAGTTACTTCAGTGGCAGGGAACGTGAGTCGAGTACACAAGGTTGAGGCTTGCAGGTAAACTTCCCAGAGAAATGAAGTGAAATGACCAGCTCCCTCCCTTTATGTCCTATCTTTATGAAATTCCATTATACATCTAAACATTTTCCCATAAGTGCTTACTGAAAGAAAAGCCGAGAGCCAAGCAGAACTATTTAAACAAACAAGAACTTCCATGAAGTTTTAGTTACTTTACGCGGGGAGTGTACCGTTGAGCCTGGACTCGATATACTCGACCCAGTCTTCCTGGCCCATGTCCAAGCGTATTCTGGATTGAGTATAGGCCATTTTTGTAAGTCATCAATTAATTTCCTTCTATCGCAAGGTCAGCCAATTCTCACTTAACCTTTGAAATAGGAGCTTGAACAAGAAAACTAATTTACCCGTATTGGGGTAGTAAAAGGCGGCTTGTTGCGCTGGCATTTCTGGCTGTTGAGCTGGCATGTTGTAATTCTGGACTGTCATATCAGGAACTTGGTAACCAGAAGTTGCAGGGACTTGCATCTTTTTAGCTAAATTTAGGCACACAGAGGTGTAGAAAAACTGATTTTTAGATTAAATAGCATTAACGGCTCCTTTGTAACCTGTCACATTTAAGGCCATAATTGTGGGTTTATTTGGTTCTTTTTGTTTGAAACTGTAGGTGGTCGAAGCAACGCAAATATTGTATTTCCTTGCAAACTTACATGTGATGACCAACAGATAGCGTGTAATTAAAACTTGTTAATCGGTTCCAAATGGCAATTTTCCCAACTGTAAATTCCTTTCCTCTCTTGTCTACAATTACCATCATTTTATCGAACAAGTTAATATGCAGTTACAGCTGGTTTAGCACCGTTACAGATTATTCGGCATTAATTAAGAGCGTGGCTTCAACACAGTGGAAATATTTTATAAGCTCCTGAAACTTGTTCTAACCAGATTTTCACCTGCGTTTTCTTCCGGTTCGTCGTAATCGTCACTTTTATCATCATCATCATTGTAATCATCGTCGTTATCGTTATCATGCGCGCTAAAATCGCTATGACCTGTGTCAGAGTCTTCGTCAAAGTCCTCTTTTTGTTCTTCGGTGCTGTAAGGTCTCACATTGACAGCTTGATCCGTGTCAGTGTCTTCTGTCGGTTCACTGTCCGGACGCAACAGTGCTGATTTTGCGTCAGCATCAGCTGTGCCGTCTGTGATTAATGCGTTATACAATGTTTTGAGCGTTAGTTGTTAGCGGGTTACCGTGACTTAAGTGATTATGGAAAGGTTTGTTAGAAACAGGCTTAACGCATTCTGTGTTAGCTTGATGAGGAATGCAAGGTAGATCCAGCGCAAATGTGAACGGTTTGGGGATCAAAGGTTTAAAAGGAAATAACTCCCAGACACACTTTTCTGACACGAGAGGTTTTCATCCAGCTGGTGTCGAACGTTAACCGTTTGTGCATGAAAAAAATAGCCTTATTGAAGCTCTCCCCTCCACTTCAATCCTACAAATTCAGTTGACTGAGGAGATTATAAGTGTACATTACCTGTTAACTTTTTTTTCACGCGGGTCTACCAAACCTCTTTGCCAACAGCCAAGATTTAAAAACCACATGCTAATTACCTATACCTGAGTATAACTCAAATTTGAAAACCCGTTGTATCATCAGATGCAAGTATACCTGTCCATCAATAAACTGTCAATCATCTGTCAATCAAACCACTTACCTGCATCACTCTTAGCTTTATTCATGCACCGGTTGATCTGAATTTTGTACTCGTACATTAGCAATTTTCCTTTGGAATAATCGTCTATGATATTCTGGCAATCGGCAGGTGGGTTTTGTGAGAGGATTGCTGTTATGAAGACAAAAGAACACTTTAGAAAAGCGTGAAGGTTAAAAAATGTACATTGCAAGAGTTAACCCTTAAAATTGACCTTATATCGCAAACTATACATAGCTTTCCGAATTGTTCATTGACTCGGCCACCTGATTCGCAGACACCCTTGCCCTTTAAGGACCTCTTAATGAGCCCGAAATGAGGAGGGGTCCAATTTGAAGGGCGACTTTCTAGTAATCCATTATCTAAGGGAATTTTATCCCGCTTACCCAGCTGACATTTCTGCACGACTAAATGTTCACACAGGCGCGAAATGACAGCTTGTATAGAGATAATCATTTACAACGTGGCCTTTGACCTTTCAAGGTTTATACTGAGCCGAGCCAGCCCATCTCCTCGTGGATCATGATGAGATTTTTTTTAAGGGAGGGAAGGGTAAGGTAAGATCTCGGAAATTTTTAGTCAAACCCTGTGACAGGGCTCCGTGGAGTTATAACCTGGAGGTGTTGATGAGTTGTGGCCACACCATTCAGTCATAACACGTAGCCGACGTTTCATGTCGCTTAGATTATTTTTGCATCACTTTTCACGCGCTTAACAATAAACCGCCTGTCAAGAAGAGAAAAAGAACTTGTTTTTCGTTAAATGACTTAGATTAGATATTACTTGGATGAAACTGAGTAATAATCGAGTCTGTTATCTATATCTTCACCTCACCGCGTCAGTTACGGATCAAGAGGTTCAAAGCTTTTTCCACTTCAGCTTTGTTTTAACGTGAATCTATATCCTTAGTGATTGAGGCTATTTAAAAAAAATGTGTTAAAGCTATGGTAAAGATAAGAACAGGAATGTCAACACACGAGTGGAAGTTAGTGTTTTCTGTCAGAAGATGTACTTTTGTTTTGACCAATCATTTCCACCGGTTAACTTCACGGGGTTAACTCAATGACAGTGAAATTGCGCGCTTGCCAGGAAGGATACTTGTTCGGATACTGAATGTAATATCGATTGTAATATAATAAAATACTATCCGAGTTCGCTGCAATTTTTCTCAGAACATCTGGATAGTACAGAACTCCCCAGCCTAAGCACCTGGCATGAACTGAATTTATTTTGAAAAGTTGACCGGTACCCGTCATAATAGTCATTGCTCTTGAACCGGCGTTTCCCCGTAACTTGGAATTCGATTTTCAAAATTTCAATTTACCTTTGGTGCTGTTTTCTTTCTTTTCTACAATTTCGGTCTTGTTATTTGCCGTCTTATTGATGGCCTTATCTTCCGAAATCTTTGGTTTTTCATCTTTTTTCTTCAAGTCTTGTTTTTTCTTGGCATCTTTAAGATGTTTCTTGCTGCTGTCTTTATGCTCGTTCTTAGTCTTGTGTTTTTTCGGTTCGTCCTTGTGTTTCTTAGTGTCGGTTACTTTAAGTTTTTTGCTTTTCTCATCCTTGTGTTTCTTGTTCGTGGACGATTTAGCCGCACAAATTGCGATCAACACAAGAAGGATCAAAAGAACGCTTTTCCTCATCTTGAAATATTCGAAACCCGAGGGTCCGAGGTGAAATTACGGAGAAATGGATTCCAAGGATTTCTTGTTCACGGTTGAGAACCCAAGGAAGCGCGTGCTCTCTGGTTTTGCTTTCACTACATTACAGGAAGTGTCACAACTTTATGAATTAAACATGTTTTCCTTAGCATGTCAATTTTTTCATCTTCTATCTACAAAGAGATACCTGCTAAAACTGATACGATCTCCTAAGAACTAGCAGGTGAGTTTTTCGTCGTTCACTGAGGTATGAAGTATCAAACACTTGCGGACGAAGCTTGTGGAGGGTTTAAAGTATACATAGCAATTAAACAGAAGAATCAAAACTTAATAAACGTGTATCTATTGGCAAGTTTTGTGCCATTTTTTACCATAAGGATTGTTGTGCATAGACACCTTTTGCGGTTGATTTTCACCTTTAGATCTGACGCCCTTAGAGGTTGCGGAAAATTCATTTACTTGGCAAACTTGTATTTTTTCCGGTGATTCGAAATGCTCTGTTTCTTTTTTAACTTTTACATTTCGACGCACTAGTATTGCGCGTGGTTCGGTACATGATCTCTCGTCTTCCGTCTGGATATAATTGCAACAGCTAAACCAGTGTATCCCATGCACAGAGACAAATGACTTGAAGCTTGGCATAGCTAATCAGTAATGAAAAATCTGGAAGCCTTTGCTTCATAGCTGCTACTACTGATGGTGGTAAGAAATTCTAGCCTTTGCAAGGAATGAAGGAGACGCTGAAATTCCATTACTTCCTGACAGAGTTGTATGCAAACTATGGACTCAACATAGACGCAACATATGGCTAACAGGTAATGGCGCATACAAATTTAAGCATGTGTTACTTGTAAATAAAATTGAACATACACATTATTGCGAAGAAATTGTTGTGCTTTTCCAATCTATCTGTAATGGAAATGATGTAGCATGTAAGAACCCGCCAAAGCGAAATCTACGATGTCATCCTTACCTTTTGCTATATTTTGCTGCCAAAAACTGAGTCACTTCCGATAATAAGTTTGAGTGTGCATCTGGTTTCTTTTCATGTCAGTAATTAAGACTCAGCTTGAAAATTTCAGAGCCCATGATAACCCAGGGAATAGTGTAGCTGTTTTAAGGGAGAATTGCGAATCATTTCCAAGAAGCTACCTGGTTAATCGTGTACTCGATAAGCAACTTCAGGTAACTTGTCGTTTCAGTGATGTCGAATGAATGCTGCTCTCTCAGACCCCGAACCATTATGATTTAATTTGTACAGCAAAAAAAAAAATTAATAAATGAATAAATTTATAGGCCGATAGATGAATCAAAAAATGTTGAAGAGTTGGTGTCCCTCCTGCCCTCAGTTCTTGGGAAGCCTTTTATGCAAGGGACAGACTAACACGGGCTCTTTTTCGGCGCGGAAGAAGCAGTAATCACGCGGGGGGGGGGGGGGTGGAGGGAGAGGAGGGTAATCACATGTAGGCTATGTCACAAGGTTGAAAACAAAATTCCTTCAACCCAAGTTTACCCTAAAATGCTTTATTGCGCCGAAATAAACCTTTCCCACCAACTTTGACCAACACATAGGTAGGATTAGGAGAATGTGATAGTAATGATTGACAATCTTTACATCGCCATGACTCGAGACCAGCAGGTGTTTTCTAACATTTCAAATACAATTTGTGTTTTGAGATCATAGTTTTCTTTCAAGTGCTTTGTCAATTTTTCTGATGAATTGTGAGCCCCGTTAGGCACGCTTAGAGCGTTTGTGTTGGTAATTGATGATCTTAACATAGCGGGCATAAAATTAAACACTTGACTGACTTACGGTCGTTTTCGACGATCAAGTCCCATCTCTTGACTATCGTCTTTAAGAGTGATGACTTTTGTTTTGCGGGTCTTCCTAACACAGAACACAGACAAAGCGTAAACAGAACCCAAGCAAGTGTGAAGCGCTCCATTCTTTCAAACACACGGTCCAGTTCCGCTTGGTTTGATCGAGTTAAAACTTAACAAATTAAATCAAAACCAGCAAAATTTTGATTTCTACCATCAGCTAAGACACCAAATTTGGCAGTTGCGTTGCTCAAGTCAGATCTCACCCAGTGTTTTGGTATTACGTTATTTTGCCATCAACGATAACCAATTAAAGCCGCGCGCGGGACTTCTATTTTATTGCTAGGTCCACAGTTTATGGAGGTACTCTTCGTGTTGATTGGTACAAATGATTTGGTTTATGTTAACTGAAGCAGGTGCCAAGAGATGAAAACTATAAATCACCAAGAAAAAGAAAATTCTACAAACGCAAAAAAAGGGATCTTGTGGTCATAAGAAAGAAATAAAAATGTGTAGTTTGTAGGGTCAAATCTGTAAAACGTTAACAGTCCTCCTTGACAAATTCCAGTTCCCTCCATAAAATTTCCTTGTTCAGCCTCTCCTAAATCTGAGAAAGACAGCTATCCGTAAAAATCTTTGCATCGTGTTTATCGATTAAAACGGGCGTTAGGGAATAGTTTTCTCGCTCCTTGAGCTTTTCACACCCTTACATCAGTATGCATATTCTCCATACTGTTCTCTATAAATATCCTGAGGTGTTAACGAGGAAATTATTTGTTTAACAATCAAGGGCTTCTTTGGTTGGTGATCATTTCCTTTATTCTCGTGACCTTAATCTGTGATTCGGGGAGATATTGCAAGGAGGGATCAGATGCTATTCACTCTTAGGGGTCAGAGGGTTAATGGAATCTTGTTTTAACTTAAAAGTTCACTGCCCTATCCAGCCGATGGATCGGATGCTCTTTACTCAGAATGGATTAAAGGGGATAAATTCGAGGGACACTCTTTGTAATTCAATACGCGTTCATATCCGCTCATCTTGGATAAAGCGTAAACAAGAAAAAGTTTAAATCAGAGAGAACACACTGAATAAATTAAGAAAGAAGTAAGCTCACGCCCGCGTGAGACGATTAGGGGAGAGGTTTGCAGGGAGTCTGGCACTAATAGTGTAGGGGTCCTCATTATTAACTGCTGGACCCTCTTGCAGACCGATTAGCGCCGCTCATAGGCCTCTTTCCAGAGAAGAAAAGCTAAGCTTGTATTGAAGAACTAATAGCAAGGGCCAGCTAGGCTAGAGTAGCACACGTAGGGGTTTAGTCTCACACGCTTGGTCGCTTAGGAAAGATGAACCGAAATAATACTGAAACTGATGACGATATTAACATCAAATTTTTATTTTCCTACAAAGCCTTTACAATTATATATAGTGTTTCATTAATTCAGTGGTCGTTAGTAAGGTTCTCCTATATTTGGTTGTGGGGTAACTGACTGTCTAAAATCTAAAATCAGTTTATCTTTAAAGTATGCGTATACAAAAAATGACTACATTAGGCTAATCTTGATTTCTCGACATGATTTCTCAACAATACCGTGATGGGTTTTTTCTTTTTATGTGACCTAATATCACATGACAAGTAAACTTTGCAAACCACAAAACGGCACGAAACCACATAATATTGATTTAACGTAAGCTGCAAAAATGTTGCATCAAAAAATCAAGGAACGAAGAAAGAGAAAAAATTAATCTCATACAAGTTGAGAACTTTATCTAAAGTTACAGTAGGGGTAAGAGCCTCATCGATTAGGCAAAAGTACAGAGAAAGAGCATTTGCTCAGGGCGCTTACAACCAGTCATAATTGGCTCGTCATAATCGTAAGCGCCCTTCATTACAGCCTGTCCAACTTGCTAAGTTGCGTGGTAATCAGCAATTCACATACAAAGTGTAGTAGGTGAAGATGATGGAGAGGAATAGTCTAGTCCAAAGGCTTGTCTACTCGGATGCATTTATTATGCGCTGTTCACTTATTAACGCTGTGAAAACCTATAACAGGTGACATTGGTTTTTTAAGTCTGAGTCATTTCAAACAGTTTAACTCATGGTTCATTGCCGTTGTATAACCCGTATTGCATACTCTGCAAATTGCTGTAATACGGTTGTCTGTATTGGTAATAGTTCTGGTAATAGGGATTCCTTGCTATTTGGAATTTTTTGGTCAGCCCCGAATAGTTGTTGCCATAAAATTGGTTAGCAGGTCTTATGGCTGCGATCCTTGGGTTATACGCTTGATTCATCACTGGGAGAGTCGACTTTTTGGTCGCTGGATAGACATTCCTATAAATCTGGTTAACAATTCCGAGATTTAGCGGCGAAGCTGAAATTCTCCCGTTGTACGCCTGACTAAATCTCTGGACAGCGGACTTCTTACTCAGGGGATATAGCTGGTCACCATTTCCACCGGCCAGCGGTGTTGACGAAACTCTCTCTTTATACGCATTAGTGAGCGCCTGGACAGCGGTGTTCGCCTGGGTCACCAGACTCCGAGCAGGGGCTTGCAGTTTCGAAAAGTCTTTGTGATGAGTGATCTTTTGAATAAGCGTGAGCATGCGCCGTAGGAAAGTTGCATTGGTTGTATGCATAATTTTGTTTTTGAGGACATCAAAGTTGACTGAAGGCTGTTGAAGCTTTTCTGGAGCAGTGTTGTGTTGAGCTACAGCATTCTGCGGTTTGTTTACAGATGTAGGGGTTCCTTTCAAAATCGGCTTTCCAAGCCCGTTTGACATGTCTGAAACAGGTTTCATTGGTTCTAATTGTACTCTAGGTCTCTGTGATAAAGACAATGAGCTGGGATCATTAGAAGGAATGATGGTGGCTTGGTTAGCTGGTTTATCGTCAATTCCAGGTTCCGGAGTAGGTTTTTCATCGATTGAACCATTGCTGTCGTCTTTTTCGGGATCGCGCATAGCTGCAAGATTTTCGTCGATATTTTCGTCCGGGTTACTTTGAGCATTAATTTTTGTGGTAGGTTTATTCAAAACCTGTGGTTTAGAGTTAATACTTGGTCCTTTATATGTACTGGTACTAGCAGGCGTGCTTAATGAGGGCTTATTGAAGTTATTTATTGCATTTTTTAGGAAGCTGGACATTTTGTTTTGAGGATTAGTGGTGGTTTGGACGCGGGCTTTTTGAACGAACAGCGGTTGACCCACAGCAACAGTTTCTCCAGTGTGTGAGCCTTCTTGAAATGTGCCTGGATAAAATGTTTGAAGTAGGTCGTGGTTGGGTTTTGGTTGATCGAGGTGATCGTAGTTGGAAGCCAGACGCGTGTATTGATCCCCGAGCGCGTTAGTGAATAGAGCCTGTGTGTTTTGATTCTCCACAGAGCCTGGAAAAGCCGCGACAGATGGGTTGCTCTTAAAGGAAAGTCCTAAATTCTGAGATTTGCTTTGATAGTCGCTCAAGCTTGGTCTTGCTGGCTTGTTCCTTTGTACCGTGGCTTGGAGAGCGGGGCGGGCGGGAGTGTGCTGTACTGCTGTTTTTCCTGTTGCTGTCGCCACTGTTAGCGACAAGAACAAGATTTATTGAAGGTAGTATAGCTAGAATTACTTCACTGCTCATATCATATTACTATCTAGATTAGTCCCAGAAAGTCATCTCATTTTCGGTGCTGGTTAAGTATTAAGAACTATAGGTTATCCAAACTGCGCCTACGTCTGTGCCACATTTGCAACATTTAAGGAATATTCACCGGCACTCAGTTGACTTCTGGGTGGTAAGAGATACATTGAAAATGAGTGTCCTGTCCCAAAACACGCATTACTCGCCCAAGACTTGAGGAAAGATCTATCGTTCGAGTGCCTAAAGAACTAACTTGCATTTGATTGATTACTTTCAGTGGCATGTATTCTTATAACCAAGCATAGAGCGAGGTGTGCATGGATTACACAAATGAATGTCACCTTCCGTCTAAGCATTAACAGAAACATTTTCTCGGCCAAACAGTGCCAGTGAAACTTACTAAAGCTAAAAAACCTATATTTAAATAGATAATGGGGGTGCTATAAAGGCTTTCAACACTGAAGGAGTACGCCTTAGCTGCATGACTGTTGATTTATCAAGTTATTAGTTAGCTTATTCTAACACCCACCTGGCACAGGATGCCTGCGGGGCACATAAGCCATTTTATGAGGCTGATAAATGTTGATCACTAAGCAAAAGAAGGAGATCAAGGATCTGTTTCAATCTAAGTATTGATTGAGCAGTTGTTTTGTTTCAAATCATAAACCGTCGGTATAATAATTCCAAAATATGTGTTTGTAATCGTCGAGCTCTTGTATTCAAAAACTGAAAGTGCCTAAAGAATTCATCTTGATAAATCCGAATGTGTTGGCTGTTGTTTGATGGCGAAAGAAACATATCATTGAGACGCAAATCAAGACACTTTTTGATTTAATGTCTTTAAAACTTATAACCCCAAACAGGGTCAGGGAGACTTTTCCAAGGAGCAATCGGAGCTCTCATAAATCAAAAACAAGCAAAGCGCCTCAAACGTGAGGAACGCCATCTGATTGGTCAAAAGGCTGACGTGAAATTTCATCGCCAATGACAGAGCGCTGTGAAGGAATTCCGACCCAACAAAAATGGATATCTTTTGACATGTTAGACATTCAATTGAAACTTGCTCCGTCAAAATAAAACAACAAGGTAAACTCTCACCTTGAGGAATAGTTTTGAGCTTAGGGACTTTCTTGGCGACGGGCAATGGAGACGGCACAGAGTAGTGAAAGTCTTCAGTGGCAGATTTGGCGATCTCGGCGATGTTTTCGTTGTTAATGTCATCCTCTGTTGACTTTTCAATTCCTTCGATGTTTTTAAGTTTTCCTGCAATAAAAACGTTGCATGATCATGAGATTATAAAGTCAATATATTTTTGTATTTGTTAAAAACTCTCCTGAGTTTCAAAGCAAGCATTCAGATGAAGATTTGGTAGTATTTACAGAAATCCATTTGGGGCCCTGTGTTTATCCAAACAAACTGGTTTCATTATAGTGAAAAAATTAAGCGGTCTTTTGAAAGAGAAGAAACCAAGTAAGGCACGATTGATTAAAACGCAGAAGAGTATCAAACACTTTAACACTTAAAGTTGCGCACTGAATTCTGATCATAATTTCAGAGGAAGATTTGAGGTACGATAATCCACCCGAAAACAAGCAGAAACTGACGCTCTGATAGTTTTGCGCTACCTAAACTTTAGCGTTTTCATGTTAGTGACTCGACACGCTTCTCTTTAATTTACTCATCTCTCTCATATTGGAGACTCTTTTTAATAAACCTTTGTGCCAGGTAAAGCTGTGATCCAGGGGAACTGGGTCAAGTGCATCACCTCGAGGCCAACTGGTAAAATGCTCAATAAATTAATTATAACAAACAAGCAAACGAATTGTTTCACCCTATCCGTTTGGCCCTTCTTCTCTTTGGGTTGTCTCTGCCAAAATTTATTTGGGTTTAGCCATGAACACGAACAGCGACTCAAAAGCCCGAGTTTGTCTTTCAGATCGACATCAATATTGAGCGGAAAAAAAATTATTAGCCAGCCTCTATTTCGTGCACTAGACCCAGTTTCCGTCTTGCCTTCGTCCACACTTATATATCAAGCTTTTCGTCAAAACCATCCACCTGTTACAGGTACCAAAATAATCCTTTATTACGGTTTTGATATATTCAGCTCGCAGAGAAGAGTTATTAGTAAGTTACCTTGTCTTCCACATCCCCTTCTCCGCTCCAGATACTCTCGCAATCGGATATATCCTTTCTTGAACTGATGTTCTACAAGAGCACAGTCTGTGACCTCATCATCCAGTTTCGTGTCTCCGACGCGATCTGCAAACACGTTCACTGTTTACCTACCTCTGATATCAATTATTCTCATCACAAAATCGATTCAACCTACGCATGGAATAGTTAGCTTTAGATGTAGTACAAAAGGTTATGCTGTGTTGATCGTAAGTTCTTCGAAATCGAATTCATCGTTGAAATTTTATCGCACGGAATTTTCCTCAGACTGTCAAAATAATTCAAAATTCTTATGAATCCATTAAACTGATTTAACATTTACGATTCACGAGGTTGTATTCTTGAATTTGGACTCTAATTCGCAACAAAACCATATGATATGGCAATCTGAAACTCACTTACAAAACTGGTTGTCAGACATGGAAAAATCAGATCGCTTCCCTAGAGCAATGCTTCCAAGACTCGCGGCGACGAGGGTGGATAACACCACCAACCACACGGACAGCATGAGCGCTATCTTGATTCCCTTGTATTCCAGTATATTTTGCAATCAAGTGAGGTTGCTCAAATGAAGTTTTCGACAAATTTTGCGCGTCAAATTTAAGCGTAATCAAGACCAATCTCGGCAGGAAAAATCGCTGAGTCTCAGTTAGAAGATGATTTCATCCGCTATTGACACTTTCCTGAGGCGAGTTCGTGGTCTTTTCTATTAAAAGTAGTGACGCCATTGATGATCTTATTGATCTCTTTATTGTTGCGAGCAGAGAGCAACAGTTCACCTATTAAGAGAAAAATCGTTCACCAAAATCAAAGAGATCACACAGTTTTGAGTGAATTGCACTCACAAGCTTATTTTATTTTTGCACCATTGGAAACACCAGAAGGGCGTTGATTTCGACCCTCATTTGAGCACACGCCCATTTACATCGTCTTTGGCGGAAACATGTCGATTCCTAGAAAGAGGTTGTGTCACATGACAACAGATTGAAAGATGTTGCATTGAGCGAACCGATTGCAATCTATTATCACCATCTTCACTGACGAGTGACATACGAAATCAGACCTCGTTCGGGAAGAGCTTCAGTCTAGAAAGTATATGTTCACTCGGTCACCAGCAACATAAGCTACTGAGATCTGACCGCTTCTCGATACACATACAGTGGTCGTTATTCATGTAAATAGGCTTAACTTTCCTGTCAATGTTCTCTAACAATCAAATGAGATAACTGAACTTTTTACCACAAAAAAATATAGGAAGATCTCATTAAACTTGCTGCCAGCTGGGCAATCACATGCCTGCCCTTTTCTATGTAAAAAAATTGTCCCCAACGTAGATTTAAATAATTACGTCGAGAAAATGACAGCGTCCATTTTTTCGGGGCGCGAACCTAGTCATCTCAGCTAAGAGGGCCTTGAAAATGTCATTTCCGCTCCAAGAAAAAAAGCTTGTGTTGCTCTGTAAGCCTGGATTCTGACTTGCGGTTCAAGTCTTATGGTAACCTTAATTGCGGTTATAATTTCTTTGGCTATAATTTTTTTCTTTTTTTTTTTTACCTATTCTATCAGAGAGTGAGTTTTTCCCCAAAAAAAGAAAGAAGAAAAATCAAGCGAGGATTTGAAGAAGAGGTACTTGGCATTTGGCTGACCGGGCCTAGCTCGTGCCATTGAGAGACTCAGTACTAGCCCCAATCCCACTGGGTAAAAATTCCCTCGGGATATCTCTAATCGACGTTGGCGTTCGATCGGTTAGGTTCGAAGTTATTGACGTAGGTGTTTCATCGCCTTTATACTTGTCATCACCGTAAATTTACGTTCATTTGCTTGTTACACGGATACACTCTCACACCAGATAAATGATAAGATAGATATGAAATTGAAGATTTCGTTTTCTGCCTGATGTGAGCCCTAATTTCCTTAAGGTTGCGTTAGTTCGGGTCAAACATGGCGTCGACAACAGAGGAACAGACGGGAAATTTTAGTCTACCAAGCACTTTCGGTGGAGCACATCCTGGTAAATCAGTGTTAAAAGAAGCTGTTGATGCTGTCTTGAATTCTTTTGCTAAGCACACGCATGGTTATGGTAGAGGTAAGTTTACAGTTTGTTATATCATTCCCAACGCCACGAACGAACCGAATGGTTCGTATGACAAGGTTTTCGAACAGAAATCAGCTCATTTAACGTTCGTATCTTTGTTTGCACTCCTACTCAGTGCAACCATGACGTTTAAATTTTCCTCATGATGGTAAGCTAGGTGTCAGTGTTACGCTGTTTATGTTTACAGTTCGGTATGGGCTCTCGACGCGATTGTGTCATAGAAAGCCTTTAGGCTTTCGAATTGTTTCCCGTGTAGCTTTTGTTTCTTTTATTCCGCGTTTACAATTTTTCATCCTTGTTCCATAAATGAAGAAGTGAGTCAAAAATCATAAACATCTTATTCGCCAATACTTCCTTAATATATTTAACATTATTTTCAAATTTATTATTCGATATGATAGAATGTTGCAAGCATTTCATGATACTGTCAATCGATTGTCCACGAATATTTAATTTGAGCGACTCCAATAAAGCGCCAATTTAGGAGTCATTAAACGTCGAAGGCTCCGACATCATCAATTATATTTTGAAGACGTGCCCAATTTTCATGTAAAGATCATGGTGATTTCGCACACGATAAGCGGACGTGTTATCTGTTCTAACTTAATTGCTACGAGTCGTCGTCTTCGCAATCTAAAATTATGGACTGAAGGGTTGTTGTAATTATGGATTTTAAGCCTCGAGTTGACTATGATATTTACGTTTGTTTTCCCATTAAAAGTGAACATGAATATATAATTTTAAGTTTGTAAGCTTCATTGCAACCTGTTTCTTTGGAAGTCATGTGTAAAATGCTCCGATTAAGAGTTCATGTTTACGCTTTATTACAGTGCCAGCAAGCTTGTTCATTAATTTACACTACATATATCATCTAAATTGCTTGTCAGATAGCTGATATGATTATGGCATGCCAATCTACATGTCACCAATATATCAATTAGGGTCAGAGGTTAATTTTTAACACAAGTATAGGACAACAACGTTTTAGAAAATTAATCTGTTGAGTAATCTAAATTTTGTGGCTGAGTTACCATGGTGGCAAAACATTCTAGAGCTGTCCCATCACGATTTTGTACATTTGCAGCAAATTAAAAATTAATGGAAACAAACTGAAAACAGTTCTTAGATTTTTTAGCAGATTTTATTATGGCCATTCTGTGACCCAGTTAAATGTCTTAAGAAGAAAAGATGTCATTTTTTCAGAGTAATAAAAAATTTGTTTAACTAAGATAAAAGTCCTTATATAAACTGCCTGTCGAGGCAGATGCACCCCAATGCAATGAAATGAATAAAAAGGTTGTGAGGTTTGTTGGAGGTGGTTAAGATTAAAATGCTGTGGCTTAAAAATGATGGACTCACAGATTAAGGTTAAATTTCTTATAAATAAACAATCCATGATTTAGTTTCTGTCATTGAAGGAAACTTTTGTTTCCTAATCACCTTAAATTGTCACTGAGTTTTCCTAACTCCATCAGAAAACACTTAATGGGTGTGAAACTTAGCTACTGAAGTTAGAGTTACCATTTGGGAGTACAGATTTCTGTTTTCACACAATTATCCTTTTCACTCTGTTATTAAAATACTTACTCTCCATATATTTCTTAAGGCACTGACAAGTATGATTTATCAAGTATGATTTTGATTTTTAAATTATCACCACTAATCAGCGCTACCACCAGTGCCTTTATTTGGAAGCTTGGCATATTAACTCCGCCCACGCTCCTTTAAATCGTGATGATGGCAGTTTGCTTCCTGACGCCTATTTACACCTCATCAGAAAATATTAAAGGACCTCTTGTTGCAGCGTTTAGATCACCCCTGATGAAGGCACTAGACAGGAGTGTCGAAACGTTGGGTCTATGAATTGTAACTTCTTCTGTTACATTCATTAAATCTGCAAACCAGAGTAGTATCAAACTATGTCTGATTGTCCACCTGGTTGCCATGTGAACTTTAATATAAAGTATGATTTCTTTCACAATTAAGTGGCCTTAAGTTGGTGATCATTTCCTTCACTCTTGTGACCTTAATGTGTGATTCAGGAGTGACATTGTAAGGAGAAACTAGATGCTGGTCGCTCATACAGATTAATGGGCTATGGTCGCTGCTTTTCAAATAATTGCATTAAAGCTTGGTACATATGTAGAGCAATATCATGTCTTGTCCATTTACCTAGTAACAATGTTTACAAACAAACACTTGTGTATATTAATGCATGCATGTCTTTTACTCAAGTGTTCATTGTTTTTCAGTTAATGTTATAGAAGCATTACAAGAATTTTGGCAAATGAAGGAAACACGAGGTGCATCTCTCAAAGGTGGCTCTACAGTTCTGTATGAGCCAGAGCCTTCTGAGAAGCCACCATATGTTTGTTATGTTAGTCTTCCTGGTGGCAGTTGTTTTGGGAGTTTTCAACCGTGCCCAACAAAAGCCGAGGCTCGAAGAAGTGCTGCAAAGATTGCCCTAATGAACTCTGTGTTTAACGAGCATCCTTCCAGGTAATACAGTCAAAAGCACCTCATTTACTAATTAACAATTTATTTACCACAAACCTCATGGTCTCCCTCTAGTTGATGATAAATTTACTCTTACAAACCACAAGCATTTCATGTTAAACTAATAATAGAAATTGTAATTCTTCAAATTCACATAGTTGTCACTATAGCAATCTGGTTTTCCTGTGATATTAAAGACTGGTTTCTCTGACTCCTGACTGGCAGTTCAGGGACAGATTTTCATGTCAAAGTCGACTGAAAGTCTGGTAGAAATTATTGCTCCAAGGCAGATTTGAATTTTCTGAAATGAAAATTGGCTGCATTTTTAGAAAGTAAGACTATTGCTTTAGTTGTTTAATTTTAATTATCACAAAAAGGAATTTTAAATGATCCAAGCTAGGAAACAAAATTAATACAGGGTCTTGGCCCAAGAGATGCCAGTCTTTGTTAATGTAGTAGTAGATCTTTTGCCATCTAGATGTGGACATACGGCCAGGATTTATTGTACAAAAGTGGTCACCAGTCTGTATGACTCAACTGTAGTAGCAGTCTGGTATAATTTCAGTACTTCATGACTGTAAAGGAACTTTTGATTCTTACCTCCATAAAATTTAAAGGCTAAACTGACCAATAATTTACAATTCACAGAAATTGAAAAAATATCCATCACTTTCACTGACTGTGGTGAATAATTGTTATAAGCAAACAAGTATACGATACAGATACTGACCAACAAATTAGGTTTTTTTCTCTCTCTCGATATTCCAAGACTAGAAGGCTCAGAAATTATACTCTTGATTCACAATTTTGCCTCTTTGGCTGCTCAGAATTCTTGCTCTTCACTTGTTGGGAAAACACTTGTCGGTCAAGAAAATTAGGAGAATTGATCCATTGGATTATTACTTATTTTTTCTTCAACAGAAAAATCACTGATGACTTTGTTGAGTCTGCAGTCAAAGAAGCTGAGTCCACAGAAACACAAATTGCTTTGAAGAGAAGGACAATTAATCTAGGGGCAGACAGCTCTAAAGATCCTAATACTGGTGTGGGAGCATTCAGATTTATGCTGGAATCAAACAAGGGAAAAACTATGTTGGAATTCCAAGATCTTATGACAATATTTCAATTACTTCACTGGAATGGCAGTTTGAAAGCAATGAGGGATAGGAACTGCTCTCGACAGGAAGTGTTGGAGCATTATGCAGAAAGAACTATTGATGATGAGATGAGAAGTCAGATGGCATTGGACTGGATATCTCGGGAACAAGAACAACAAGGAGTGATCAAGAGAGAACTTGACAAGGCTCTAAAGGAGTTGGAACAGTGCCGTTTGAGTGGACGTGAACTGAGGTTTCCTAAAGAAAAACGTGACATTTTAATGCTTGCTCGGAGTCAAATAGGAAAAGTTTAAATATGAAGTAAAATTTTGATAATACTGAAAATACAACTGAATGTAATGATGAACAGAGGTTTTGAATTTTTGTCTCCAGGGAGGGGTCTGCCACAATTGAAGGAATTTCTGAATTTTATTGTATTATGTGTTTAGTAATATATAATTATGGAGTGTGATTGGTTGTGTTACTGTATCATTCAAATTTAATGCGCTATACCTTTAAATACATGCATACTTAATTTTCACACTGATCTTTGTAAGTTTCACTTGAATCTGAAAATGAGAATTTGTGTGATTATCAGTCAATAGCTTCTTTACTTGATGTGGTTACTTCCATTATTTTAAGGACCATGACATTTGTTTCTGTGATGGTATTATAAGGTGAAATAAGATGCTACACAATCTTATGGGTCCATGACTAAAATTTCCAAAGCTTAAGGTGGCAAAGTATCATGATGGTGATCAATACACATTTCATTCCAGGCAAGAGTTTAAAAATGAGGGAAGTAAATGGACTCATTATGGTTAGCCCAAATGGGAAAAATGACTTCCAGCTCTCTTATGTGTGGACATTTTTCCTATTTAAAACTATGTGAGTGTATATTTAAATCTAATTTCTGACTTTTACTGATAGTTTTGTGCCTTTGAGTTTTCATAGGTGGTGAAAAAGCAGGGCGTTAAGTCTCTATTGTAAATAAATTGCGTTATGGTAGCATGGAAAGGAGTTTCCATCATGGCTTTTGTATATGCACAAGAGACTAATGAATGATGCTGTTGGTGGAAAGATGTACAAAAAGATTTCAATTGGGTTTAGTGATATGCCTCAGTGGAAATAATAAGTTATGATGGATGAAACCAGGAGTGAAATTGATATCATTGATACACTGAAATTTAAAAATTAAACTATTACTGACTATTTATTACACAAAATGATGCAATAATGGTACATGTCTATGAACATTGTTCAGTTTTATTGAATAAGTTCATTCATAGGCAGAAGGATGGGAAGTAAAATGTGTCATCTAAAACAAGTACATTAAATTTTACTTATTAATATCTCAATTGCAGTATAAGATCATCATAAATGTTTTTCTTGTCTCATAAACTTTCATTAGTTTTATTAGCTGGTTTATATTTGTAAACCATGTTGACCCTTTACACTTAAAATTCGCATGCATATTCTCTAAACTGTTCTGTATAAATTTCATAAGGAACTGACAGGAGAATTTGTTTAACAATCAAGAGCTTCTTAAGTTATTGATTATTTTCTTTATTTTCATGACCTTAATGTTTGATCTAAGAGTGACACTGTGAGGAGATATTAGATGTGGAGTCACTCTTAGGGGTTAAAGCCTTTACACCCTAAAATCAGTGTGCAAATTCTCCACACTGTTCTCTCTACATTACCTAGAGAGAATTGTTTCACAATCAAGACCTTCTTTAGATGTTGATCATATCCTTTATTCTGGTGGCCTGATTTCATATATGATTCAAAATTACATGCCGATCACTCATGGAGGTTAAAGGGTAAACAGAATTTTGTTTGAAGATGGGAAACATCCAAGGGGGTTCATGAGATAGTACTGATTTCTTTTCTTGGCTCCCAGTGTCAAGTCTACATGTTATTTTATACCATAACTTGGGGTCATGTATTAAGAGTAAGAAGTGCCAGACTTTTGTTTAATGACTTTACTTTTTAGTTTCTCTTCAATCAATTTGTATAGTAGACTTCACGTTATAGTTTCATTATTCACTAAATAAAATCATTATCCAATGTCCAGAAGGTTGCTACATTTATTGTACTTTAATTAATTGTTATAAGGAACAATGAATTGGTCAGGATATTAGAGATGTGACCAAAGTACCAAAGGGAAGACAGTGAAATCCTATTGCAGCACAGGGGCTAATCAAATACCACCATTGATCACCAAAAATGTCACAGCTTTAACTGTTGTCCCTATGATTTCCTTTCTGACCACTCACACTACAACAGTACCCTTTGAGATCTATTTAACCCTCTTACAGGAGAGTTCGATCTTTAACTTTGATAGCAGCCTGCAGAGCAGGCAATATTTTGGTGGGTGAGTGCTCAATATTATCTTGGTGGAAAATTATAGCTGCCATCTATGATTTTTACAGCAGTGGAAGAGTGGGGAGAGAAAGAAATCTGTACCAATGGGGGTTTACCTTGATCAAAAAAGAGAGGGGAGGGGTTAGAGCAATGAATTTTTCCCCCTTCCCCACTGTTGACTCTAACTTCAGACCAAACATGAGTAAAAGGTTGCCAGCTTCTTAATCTTAACTTGCCCTAATGAGACACCTGCACTGTAGGCTACATTGATGGCAATACCACTTTCTGGGACAAAGAGCATCATAGCTGATCTAGGGTGGAGTCCACCCTCTCTTCCCAAAGGCTCATTTTGAGTTAAATTGATTTCTTCACCCAGTCAAAATGGAGTGGAATCCTATGTCATATCAGTTGCTTTAACTCTGCACGTATGTATCTGAGAAGCTAAACTAACACACAGTACATTTGATTACAAGTAGTTATGATATTCACTTTGAAAGAGGGCTAACACTCGGAAGGCAAGTGCTATAACCTCTTTACTGTGGCTAATTTACATCATCGACTCAAGTGATAGCACCAAATTATCTTGTAACACTCCCCACTGATGCAGCACCACAGTTTCTTTAGAAACTCAGCCCCTTAATGAAATGTAAAAAGTCACAAACAAGATGTCTTCAAATGAAATCTACTGGATGGTGTGAAACAAGTTAACTCAAGCTAATCCTTAAGGTGACACAGGAATTTATCAAATGGATCTAACATGTGGTTTTTAGGGCACTGAAGTGTGATTAACACTGCTCAGATGGATGACATCTCATGGTCTCTGCTCTTGTACTTCAACATCTATTGGGGCACATGCTAAGTTAATCCTGTTCTTGAATTTGCTGTCGTACAAGGTCTGCATAAAGTCCATCTCTGGCCATTAATTCTTGATGTGTTCCCACCTATTATAAAAGTGATTTGAAGTGATGTTCAACCTCCTACCATAGCAAAGCCACAAAATTACAAAGTTCATGCCTGTTAGAGCATCCAAAAATAGTAACTGTTGAGAGAAATCCATCTTAAATTATGAAAGGGTCCAAAACTTATCTGTTTCTTGCATATTCCTTTTTTTTTTTTAAACAGATGTTCCAACTGACTGGAACAGTTTGAATTTGAAGTAAGCTGTTAGCACTTAATTGTATTCTTTGAAACCCAAGTTATCCTTAGTTCCAAGGAAATATTTTAGTTTCAATGAGAACATCAGCACTACAGTTACCGTAACAGCTACAAATTACAACAACAAACTTTATCAGAACCATAACAACACACTTTTAAATTATTTGGAAATTTTTTTACAAAATGTATGTGGGGAAATGAACAGATTCAAAAAACTTTAACCAGCTGAGGGAAACACCTGATGTGGGGGGAAGTACAAGAAAGTGACACAAACTGCTGCAATTATTAATTAAGGACATTGATATGTTTGCAATTATAACTTACCTCGCGAATGTTACCATGGGAAAGAACCACAATCATATCTGTTTTAATTATAAAAAAAAGTTAATGAAGTTGCAGCAACCGAGTTGGGTAAGCAATAAATTACTTATATGAATGAAACTATCTTTAGTTAATAATCCTACTAACCCAGAGTTAGTTCATTCATATCAATCAAATACTAATGACAGAAAACTAAACTTAAACTTTGCAAAGGCTAGTGCTTGCAGAGAATATTTTGGCTATGATCCCACCATTCAAGATCAGCCCTACACCAGAGATCATCACCAATTGAAAATACAAATAAAAATAAATAAATAAATAAAAGAAGAACTAATTTGACAGCCCGAAGGGCCTTCAAAAATTGTGTCATAAGGATAACAAATCTTTTTCAATTTTTGTGTAGTGTAACCCTCTCAATGATTTCAGGAGAATCATATGATAAAACAAAGCTCAAAGGACAACTTCATATTAACTTACCAGCATTCTGTATGGTACTGAGCCTATGAGCAATAACTATCACAGTGCGTCCTAAGTGCAGGAATTGAAGGACAAGTATCATTAAAAGTACAATGCTTTTTTCTCCTCCATATTAATCAACTTGAAGAATTCTCTTAGGCTCTACAGCAACTCAAAATAATATTAGTAAGCTGGGAGGTCCTTATTGTGAAAAACTTTGACAAAGCTACAAGAATTGTCAAGTCTATGGTCACAGTTATTCATCATGGAGAATGACCCTTAACTGGTAGAAAAGTACTATTAATTTTCTCAACTTTCTCTTTAAAATCACTCAGGATAAAATACCTTTTCCATACACACACACTGAGACTAATGGATGCAGTAAACATAAAGAGTGTCTTGAAGTGTTAACCCATGAAATATGCAACTCATAAAGAGGCTCTCATGTGTACATTATTGTACAGGTCAACCTTATAATCAGTTATATTCATTTGACTAATACTTTAGCTATGAATTGAAGTAAATTTAAAACCTTTAGTAACTTTGTCCAAAGCTTCTTGTACAACACGTTCAGATTCTGCATCTAAGGCACTGGATGTAAATGAAAGATGACACTCAACACACTTCTTGGCCCAAAACATTTGTAAAATCAGATTAATTGAATAAATCAACGATGCAGATTCCCTAATATAAAAAAAAAGGAACTTTCACCTAATGTCATGAATGCTAACTCCTTTAGGGAACACCATCAACATGGATAATCTCTGTCGTTTTATGAATTTTTGTGAATATAATAAACATCATGATTTGATTTGAATTAATAAAAAGCAAAAGAAATGAGTCTATATGGCATACTGAAAATACCTTGTTGCTTCATCTAGGATGAGAATGGCTGGGTTCTTTAGAAGTGCCCTGGCAATTGCAATCCTAGCAAAAAACAAACAAACAAAATAATTTTAAAAAAAAGTTTTACCCAACTATCACTCATTTGGCAGCTTCTTCTCAAAAACCAAAAAAAGCTGACTGATACTTTCTGCTTTATATTCATCAAAGTTTTAAATACTACACACCTTTGTTTCTGTCCTCCTGACACAGTAACACCTCTCTCTCCAAGGACAGTTTGGTATCCCTGTGGAATAAAGTGAGATTTGTGCAAAGTTGCGACACATAGCACTAGAACCTTGAAGCTTGAGTACAATATCATTTCAAATGTTGCCTTATGGGCTACTGATTTCATTTTGCAGGGATACTCAGATGGCAGGATACAAAAGATTAATGCCAAGACTTAGGAAAAGTTGACCCTGTGACAACTACAATGTGACATCTGTGGAAACATTGTGAAGAAAAGTTGGGTTTAACTTTTTTAAAGTGTAAATGTTGACCACTGAGATAAAAGAAGATAAATATCTGCCGCTTTTGATAGAAACTGACTTTGAGGTTATAAACTTAAGCATTTGATGCCAACTGCATCAGTCAGATCACCCAGATTCAAATTTTAGTTGCTAATAAATTTTTTGCTACCACAAGCTAGAAACTTTTTTTATATCACATGACATGAAACAGCAGAAATAAATTAATCTGCTGAACATTGACAACCACAAAAGTTGAGCCATTCCAAAGAATGACTGGGATCAAAAGTATACAGTGCAATCAGTTACCTCAGGAAAATCTCTAATGAAGCCATCAGCATTTGCTTGCTGAGCTGCTGCTAAAACCTTCATATTTGGCAAAAAATCAAAGGAAATAATGTAACAAAAAATAGATGAATTCATCAGACAATGATCATGACACAAGGTGTTGTCTGTTATATATACCTCATCATCTGTTGCTTCTGGGCGGCCATAACGTATGTTCTCTAAAACTGAAGTGGCAAACAGCACAGGCTCCTGGATGTAAAGAACAAACACATAAAAATGATAGCAGAAGGCTGGCTGGAAATGATATTTTGAAAAAATGTTTAACATTTTAATGTTTTCAAAAGACTATTTCTTAAATATTTTTATTCATGCTTAATTTGTTATCATCAGGTGAAATGTCACATTTTTTATTCCTACATGAATGATTTTAAGAGAGAGTTCTAACTGACTTTAACAGTACTTAATTTAAAGCTATGCCCAAAGAAATCAATATGAGTGAACAGAATTTGGATTACAACTGTGTATTAACAATAACTAGAACTTATGTTCATGCTGTTTCACACCTGTCTACTCTCTGGTTGTAACAGCAACCTTGTTTAATTCAAAATATGTTTGCAAGGTAATTTGGTTCTTAATAAAGTGCACCTGCTTTTATTCACAGTCTAAATACCTGGTGAATAAATCCAATCACATGTCCCCTCAGCCATGTGGGATCCAAGGAAGTTATGTCATGACCATCAAGAAAAATGCTTCCACTCTTCAGATCATAAAAACGCTCCAACAGGGCTGCTACAGTTGACTTGCCAGCTCCACTACTTCCACACAAAGCAACCATCTTACCAGCTGGCACTGACAGGGAAAAGTCTTTAAGAACAGTTTGCATGGGTCGTGTAGGATACACAAAAGTAACATCCTTAAAGCTAACTTCTCCACATATGTTCTCAAGGGGGACTTGTTTACCACCTGTAACTGGTATGGTGGGTTCGATTGCTAGGTACTCAAACACCCTTGCTCCTGAGCTCATGCCACGCACAATTTGGCCAAATAGGAGAGATATGTGACCTAAAGACCTGACATTGTAAAAGAAGAAAATTAACACCTAATTAGGTAATTATACAAACCTACAACACAGAAGGTTGTCAGTCAGGTGATTCAAAGGTTTATCCTGGTCTAAATTTTTTCTGACCAGTTCAATTTTCATGTTCCTTTCTTTTTATTCATTATGAAATTAGAATCTAAATTGAGAAAATTACAACAACTGAAAAAGTTGGAACTGTTACAATAGCTGAGCATACAGCCCAAAAATCAGACTTAAGAGGGTCTGAGTTCTGAAAAAAGCTCATTGGGTTTTGTCTTGATCTTAAAGTTGTTGCTCTTTTGCAGCCAAAATCTCTCATTATTTTATTAAATTTCCCACACAATGAAAATTTAAAACTTATTAGCTGTTTTTTTTAGTTATAAAAAAGTGCTAGGACCTGAAGAAAGGTGTGTGAGCCATACTGTCCAATAAAGTACCTTTGTATAGTCTGTGTAGCCACCAGGAAGCTCATCAAGTCTCCAGGTTCCATTTCTTTGGCAGCAAGAAGTGATCCACCATAATACAACACTACCAGTGCCAAGCCGTTAATGGCTAGATTTGACAAACCTTGGAACAACCCAACTCCAACACCTAACATCTCATTCAGTGCCTTGGATTTAGACACTTCATCTTGATACAAGCTGCAAGATGATCCAGCCAATGCTAATGAAATTATTATATTCATTACCATAGGAATAATTACAATATTTCTTAGTATACTCTAATATTTAATCCTTGACAAATTTTTTGCCCATTTTATATTTTTCTTTACAAACACTGTCAAATTAAAAAAAACTTAAGAATAAAACTCAATTTACAAAACAAAATTAAAACAAAAAACCTCTTAACCCTTTAAATCCCAAGATCTGATTGTTGAATCTCCCTTCTAGCTGCTACACAATTTCTTGTTAATAAGTTATGAGAATTTGGTGCTAGATCAAGACAACAACTTCAACCTGATAAGTTTGAGTTTTCTCATCACCTGTTTACTGGACATTGTAAGGATATTAGGGAGACGTTACATGTCAATCACTTCTAGGAGGGTTAATTCACTTGAAAGTAATGTAGATAATCTCATTATCGTATTACAACTCATATATTTGCCATAAGATACTTCATCATTTCACTCTGAACCTTCCAGAAAGTAAGAAAGTCAGAAAGTTGATAAACAAAGATGCATGATTCTATTTAGAAAAGATGCATTAAAAAAAATGTATTCAAAAAATGGTCTGTGAGGGCAACAGTGACTTTGTTATGATCTTACTTAGTTTCTTTATCTTCCATAGCAAATGCCCTCACAGTTCGCACATTTCCAAGAGCCTCATCAGCAACTGCAGTTGCCTTAGCAGCCTGTTCTTGAGCAGCCTTGGAGAGCCTCCTTAATAGGGAGCCAAACAAAGTACCACCAACAATGACAACTGGTAAGATGACCATCATTACACCTGTCAGTTTGGGTGAAATCATATAAAGTGATACCACACAGCCGACAGTCTGAGTTGTACTGCGCAGACCTTGGGAAATAATCTGCTTAAATGCACTCTTGAAATCTTGAATGTCACTGGTCAACCTTCAAGGAAAATTTTCCACCATATAAGACAAAAAAAAGGTTCTAAGTGAGCCACCTACATTTTCAATTCAAGAAATAATTAGCATTCAGTTTGGGGGAGCAGAGAAATGTTTAGGCACAAAGCAGATGACATCTTGATGTCTTCTGTGATCTATTACTGTACAGACTCACAGCAGCATGGAATCCTTTTATGTATCATAGAAAGGCAAAATGTTGGTAATGGTGGCATCATCTAAGCATCTGTCATCTTACAGATTATAAGAATCAATCAAAATGCATGCATGTCATGCAGCTTACCCTGAACAATCCTTTGACCTAAATTTTGCAGTGAACAAAAAATAATATATGAACTTATCTAAAGTTAATTCATACTGTTAGAGGATTGGACCACTGTAATGATATTACGGAAAGTGGTAGCTGGGAGTCCTTGGTTTTTCAGAGTGAATGTTATGTTCATGGTATGGTTTGTATGTCTATTTTTTTTTTTCATATACCCTACGTATGTATGTGCTATAAATTAATGATATTCCATGAAAATGAAATAAAGCTGTTTTGGCCAAGCAACCCTTAGAAGTGGAAACATACCTGTTGACTAGCTCTCCTGTTTTATGATCATCAAAGAAAGCAATGTCTTGTCGTATCAATGATGCAAATAAAGCATTGCGCATTCGCTCTGCAAGCCTCTCACCCAAACAAGAAAGAAATGAGATATAAGCAAATGTAAGGACTGACTGAGCCCCATAAAGTGATATCAATTTCATTGCAGGTTCTCTTAATACTTGAAATATGTCTGTGTTTAGATTGCCACTTGTTAAACTAGAGACAGCATTTACAAGGTTCCCAAGCAACAGCGGTAATTCAATGTTCACCATGGCAACTGCAAAAGCACTCAAGCTTGCTAATAGTAAAAGCCAAATATCAGGCCACAGGAATTTCCAGAATTCTCTGAAATCAAATTTTGGCTGTGATCTCTTCCCATCTTTGTCTTTGCCCTGCGAAAGCTGTGATGATGACTTGTGACTCAACTTCGGCCCACAGGAGGCACTAGAAATCTTTGATCTGACAACTAAAGTTCCAACAGCTAAGAGTCCAGTATACTTGAGAAGATACCAGGGATGGGCATAAGAATTTGATCTCTGTTCTAATAATTTCCAGACATGCAAAGTTCTCCATCTGAATGCCTCTGCAGTATATTTTGAAGCACTTTTTGTGATGATTTTTGAGATTTGATGTTCCCTAAGAACTGTTAGTCTGTTACTCCTATAAATAGAAGAGAATTACATTGCTCAAAAAATGAAAAAACTGTCGCAATGGTATGGGAAGTTTGAAAGGAAAAATTTAAACCAGCCAGAACCTCCCAGATGACTGAACAACAAGTATGTGCAAATAAAGCTAAGGTCTGGAAAATGATGGACTTATAAAATTTTGAGTGAAATTTGAAGGCAAGCCCTGCAATTGTTTTTATTATTGTGAGTTTACTTTTAATTGTAATCTTAGCTTTTTAAATTATTGTAAGTTTACTCTTAATTGTAATTTTATCTTTTTAGCCTTTTCATTTTGTTTTTTAATCTTGTCATGTGCATTTGAACATTTTATTGAATTAGCGTATTATAAATGACCTATTATTATTATTATTATTATTATTAACACCATTTCAGACCACCAGTGAAGGCACTCTTACTAGAGTATGTCAAGTATACATGTTTTCTCTCGATGCTGATTGTGCCGACAGAAAGGCCCTCTTAGGGGTTATCAGATACATAATACTTGGGTATACAGGATACTTATGGAAAAAATTAACAGGATTGGGAATATTTAAAATAGAGATTCAGTGATATTGGACTGGACCTATAAAACACACGAATTAACAGAATATTTTAACAACAAAAATTAAAAGGATACAGCAAACTCAGAACCTCCCTAATGGCCTCACCAGAATTAGAGCATTGTTTGTTGCATGCAGAAGGTAATCAATACTGCAACCATGAATTGCTTGCATTTGCACACAGACAAAAATGACTCGCTCAAGATCTTGTTAAGTTCTATTGTACTCTGAAGACTGGGCTATTTAGTGGGGGGAAGGGTGAATGTTCGGGGAGAATCTTCTATCCCTCTCCCCTAAGACAAAATTAAAAAATGAGACGGATATTAAGGGGGTGTGTCATAGTTATTATCTCAAAATGTAAATGAAATGATCGCTGTATGCAACACAAAAGTACACATTTTAGATTATAATGATAAACCAAACGCAAAAGCTGAAAGCAAGCAGGGATCGTTCGCAGCTAGCCCAATACAACGATGGGTAAGCTTCAAGAACTACACTGAGCCTTGAATACAAAAAAAGTGTTCTTTCAGCTTTTGCAGCGGTTGATACCTGTACGTGATGAAATTCCTTGGAGTTAAACAGACTAAATAACTTCTCAAAGAAGAACAACCAAGTTTCTGAGCCAGGAGAGGGTACATTTCGTCTACACCTGAACTTGCTGGTAACAGACGCCTTTAGCCTAGCTTGTCCGCCATCTTGCTTTCTAATCAAGAACTCGACCCAGGCTCTCAAGCAACATGAGTGAACGCTTTGTAGATTTGGGCGCGCAAGCAGGGTAGGGTAGGGAGCTGCAAAGTGACGGGGGAGGACAGACACATGGAGAGGTTGTCACATAAAAGAACTAGCAACGATAAAAACAAACGGACAACGACAAAAAATGCAAACAATAGTCAAATAGGAAAAAAAAATACAACAAAGAAACCGACAAGAAGCTTCAAAGAAACGAAATAATACAATCGAAGGGCTAACGCTCGAAACGTCAGCTTTTTTACCCTTTACGCTGACTAAGTTACGTTTTCAACTCAGTTGTTGACACTAAATTACCTGCTATACTCTCCCACCGACGCAGCACCATAGTTTCTTTAGAAACTTACCTCCTTAATACATAAATAAAGATTGATCACGTTATTTTTTTCTCTTTTGCCACATACAGAGTATTTATTTTGCGCAGGTACTTGACTCAAGGCTGAGATAACAAACAGTCCACAATTTTTTATTCCAACTTAAGTCAAGGTTTTGCTTGTCTTTTCTTACGAAATGTAACGTTAATCGATAGAAATACTTCTTGGCAATACTGATTAATCAAACAAACACACAAATGGCTTAACCAAAAATTTATCGTCTTTCTGCATTCCCTCACGTTATTCTATGGGAGAGACGTCCATGCATCCAGTACTGCATTGTTTGTCGGGGCACCTTGAATATCATTGGGAGAATAATTGAGGAAAGAATCGGATATATTTTTTATCTTTGATTCTAGCGGTTTTCACGATTCGGACATTTAGACAACAGAGTTTTAAAGATCAGTAGCCAAAAGTAAGCAGTTGACCTGGTATGAAACTTCCTGATCCCTTTTATTTTCGAATCTCGTGACTTTTCGATTGAAATTTACGATGCCGTGAGCCCAGGAGTAACAGACGAGCGCGTAGTCTAAATCACTTCGTCTGGGTGATCAGCAGGCCACTTGGTCAATTAATTGAGATTTGTTTACTGCATAGTTTCGAAGCTAATTTTTTTGTTAAGTATTGTAAATGACAAATGATATCAAAGCTAGTTGGGCATAACAGTTGTTAGTAAAAATTCGAATTGGACTCAAATCGGCCATGTATCCATTATTGATGTACATATAAGTCGAATATTCATGTGCGTGATAGTAACTTGATCTTTTGCATGACTAACTTAAAGTAGTTATTGCACATATCTTTAATTTGATTATGGAAGATTTATGGCCTGGTTCTTTAATTCGTTAATTTTTTTTATTGCGGTCAAGTGTTTCGATTCAATACAATTTTTTTGGGGCCCGAATGCGAAAAACAAACTTACAATGGTTTAAAGCCGATTTGCATCGAAAATTACTCGATATTTAAATGCTTAGTATTCATAAGTCATATTAGACTACTTACTGAATACCTCAGATACTTTCCATCCGTAAGTATTTTCGAATATTATCTACGCCATTTAGCAGAACTGAAAAAAAACTGTTAAATTGTGTGAGAAAGGTTAATATCTGTCAGGTCAATACATTTTTTGATATAAACGCCTCACACGATTAACGCATGGAAATCCATACGGAATAACAAAAACAATTGTCTTACCTGAATCCTACAACAGTTTATTAAACGGGATAAACAATATTGTTTCAAGTTTCCCGAGAAAGTCTAAAGCTAAAATGTTTGAAAGTGTGAAAAAATAATTTAGCCTGACGCAGAAAGATTTTCAAGAGGGTTAAGATATGTGCACGAGGAAGACTGATCAAGAGATTGCTCCTTTCATAACAAACGAAGATGTACGTATAGATAAACACTCAAAAAATCTATGCCCACAGAGTAATGGCCATTGCCTGCACACCTTACGTTTTGCTAAAATTGCAAAATCCTGGAAAATAAATGTTGTTCCCATGTAAACAACGATTGGAACTGCTCTTTACATGCTGTCATCTTCAAAATTGTGCTTTTGTATCAACAAGGCTTTCTATGATGACTGTAACGTCATGAAAATATTTTTTTTTCATAGGCTTGTGTTTATGACGAACTCTTTCCCTTTATTTGCTTCGGTACGAAAAGCACTAAACAATTAACAGATTAAATTCAAACTGCGAAATAAATCATTTAATCATCCTGAGAGACTCATGACTGAAAACTATCCCTCGTCTGTTTTAGATTACATAATACATATTATTACCATCGGTCCATTCAAACCTCATTTGCTACTTCAGAAGTACATTTCGGCATTTGATTAATCATTGAAGTCATCTCTGACGGCACCACGAAGTTGAACTTATCAATAGACGCTGTCAGTTTTAATCAAGTGACTTGAAGAGATAAACAAAAATTCATTTTCATTAGGGGCAATTTCGACATAATAACAGCACTGACGCACGAAAATCTCTTACCAAGTTCCAAAATAGAGCTGGACAGGTTCGCACGCTAATAAATCTATTTTAAGAATCCCCGACAAAGTTTAGGAGAATAAAAAGGTTGTCAAAACTGTTAGTCTATATTGGTCGTATTTCAAGCAATACAAATTTATATCACTGCCATCATAGTAGACAACTGAGTGCAACTTACGACGGAACACTTTTAAGTCCAAGCATGTAAAAACGGATGGCTGTTTCGCTAGGTACTTCTGGATTTTAAAGCGTGAATCATCACAATTTACTCCGAGGCAGGATTGCATGCAGGAATGCAATTGAAATAAGAGCGTTTTGTCTGTATCAATTACTTTCTGGATTTTTACAACGGATTCTCTCCTCTGTTTTTTTAATCTATGGTCATACTCTCAAAGTTTTTCTGTTAAAAACCCTTAGCTTTGATCAAATGAAATATGAGTGCTCAGTTCCCTAACAGTTTCCTTTGTAGTGTTTTCAGAAATATTAGCGGTGAGAATAAATGTACAGTCAAAATAGCGTGCAAAACTTTATTGAGATTAATTTTTAGGTGACGTCATAAAGCCTTACACGCGATTTATCATGCATGACATGAATTGGAATGTCTTCCAAAAGGAAGCTTATATCGATTATTCGCTTGGAAATGCTTTGCATGTTCTTAGGCATGACCGGAAACCCCAAATGTTTGCCTAAGATAGAGTATTAAGAAGTTATCTATGCTATGAATGAATTATTCAGGAACCGGGAACTTGAAGACACGTAAGCTACGTCCGCTTATTTCCCGCCATCTGGCAATAAACGACGCGGCAACAGGGAATGCCGTGATTTTCCCGCCAAATTTTGACGCCATATTTACCATTCAATTACTCTATATCTGGATGGTGTAAGCATTTCTGAATAATGACACAGCTAAGAAAGTTGAAGAGAGAAAAATTCTCTGTTTTACAGAATAAATTTATTCCAAACATAACTGGATAACTTTGTCTGAATATTTGTCCCGCCCGTCGAAGTGACTGATTCTCGTCAAAACAATGACACTTAGAAGCGTTTTATGCGATATAAAACGCTAAATAACTTTCAAGAATACTCGGGGTCAAAGAATTGACAAATATAATAAAAACAACCAAGCTTATCCTTTAATATCTCTAAAATTTTGGCGACGCTAGCCTACAAGGTTACATCAAAGCTTAACGCCGTCAACATTCATTAGCAGATCACGGAACACAGTTTGTTCAAACGAGACGGGTCAAGCTCGTTGTTTATAAACACCGCGGAACGTGTTAACTGTCGGCAATTAAGTGCGTGGTCTTACCAAATCGCCCGGTTCAATTAATACTTTGTCCTTCAGGACGTTTTAGAGAGACCTGCTCAACTGGGCGGTGTTGTCCTCTTGCAAGTATTAATAATAGCGAATGATACAATCAATTTCCTTGATAAAGGGGCAAGTGTGCGCTGGGCCAATATAAGTCCATTATTTAAACAGCACGTTGGCCGTGATAATTTAATTTCACAACGAAAGTACAAGCAACAAGATGTATCTTTTGATGGGAACTGTCGTGTTTTGCCTTGATATTGTGATCACATTGGCAGGCCGAACATGTGAGCCCATCAAGATTCCAATTTGCCAGAAACACTTGCCGTACAACATGACAATGTTTCCTAATGCGCTTGAACATCTCACGCAACAATACAGCAGGCAAAGGATTGAGCTATACAGTGACATCGTCGCTATCAACTGTTCGGCTGATGCAGGATTTTTCCTCTGTGCCTATCACCTACCCATCTGTGCACCAGAGTTTAAATCCAGGCCAATTCGTCCGTGCAGATCAGTTTGCAAAAAGGTCATGAGAGAGTGTATGCCTACCATCCGAAAATACAACCGGGAGTGGCCCCCCGACGTCGTTTGTAAGGACCTGCCATCCTATGAAAGCGACGTTTGCATCAAGCCTGAGTCCTTTGTTAAATCTGGTAAGTAAAATCAAGGCTGTATTATTTGCTTCTTAATTAAATCGTTCGTCTTAAAAATTCATCAGGATTATTCACTGCTCATTTGCACTAAGAGGTCCACTAAGCGTTTGATCTCGCAAAACGACAAATATACTCCTTTGTCGCCAGCCCTTCGGATTTAAGGGCTTGAAAGGAATGATCATGCAGTTAACGTTAAGAGTCTCAAATTCTTTAAATGTTTATCTAGTGTACAAAGTTACGAAATATGGCGTTGCTTTATTCAAAAATGTTCTTATAAACGGCGACTCACTCTACAGGTCATGGGTTACTTTTTTTTCATGCGCTTCTCTGAAACCGATCTTTAGGCTACTTTTACGCTACGTAAACTGACCCTATATGAGGTTGGTTAAATGAAATTTCAAACATTTGATTGACTGTCAACTTTTGTTGTTTCTGACTGGGTTGGCGGATTTTTCAAAGCTTTAATTAAACTAGATTAACCAAGCCTTGTAACTTTCAATTATCATTCGTCCGTTTCTTTTAATATCCAGCCTGTGAGTTGCTTCTATCCATGAATTAAGATAACCGGGTTTTAATTTGTAAATTCGATTCAAATAAAATATGGCCAAATTAAAAAACTCATAAAATTTAGGAATCGTACAGGCATAGAATCCTATGTCAACACAGCTGACTTTCCTATTAATTCACAGGAAATTACACTTTTCTTGGTGATAAATATTCAAACTACCAAACAAATTTGTGGTCACGTTCCTTTAATTTGCTGTGACTCCAACTTCACGAATACGAAAGAATGCTTGCAGTCTCTTAATCCGAGTGTGATTTATTTGTAGGTAAAGACTTGTCAACCATTCATATCTGTCCATTGATTTTTCTCCGAAGTTTTGGAGTGCATCATTTGACTATGCCTCTCGAGGTCGCGTATGGCTTTCGTAGTTGAAATATTTCTCTATCTTTCTACTTGAATTGTAAACATTTGTGAACATCGTCGATAACAACCAAAAAATTGTCTCTAACGATGGAAAGGTCAAAATTATGTTGTGTTCTTGAATACCAAAACCGTGTCATAAAAAGTTCTAAAAATATTTTTTTAGTTTCTATTAATAGATTTTTTACTTTTGCAGTGATATTAGACTGCTGCATTTAGGTTCAGCAATGTAGTTATTAAGCCAGCAGAGTTTACGAACATATGACTTCTTTTTCAAAAGCCCACAGGAATTGCGTGATGCCTTTAAATCATATCATATTCATTATATCCTTGACATAGCAGCTCTTCAGAAGCTCTCCCTCCCAGAGTTCATAGGGCAGACAGGAAATGATTGAAATCCATTTAAAAAATCTAACACGAAGTTAAGAAACGTGTGAAAGTTTGCTTGCCGATCCCAATATCTGGTAAAGAGTACAATGCGGACAAATAGTTTAGTCTCCTATTCCTTTAAAAACTTAAGACACTGCTATCGAAATCGGAACCAAAGAAGGAAGTTGCAAAAGAATCACAATGTACTAAATGAACATGTACTACATTTTTAGAACTACTTTTTCCTTTGTTTAGTTTTTTATTAGAGTTAAGCCTAAATATATTCCAAGTTTTTTGCGGGTGCGAGAGGTATTCAAGAGGCCTATCAAGTCTTTCCGCAGGTCCAGTCCAAAACTAATTTACTGAATACTGAAGGATTATTTCGGACACAGCGCGCGAATTCCATACCGTAGGGTTTTATTTTATTCGAACCCTGCCTTTATGGCGAGACCAACTTAAAAATAAATCATGTTACTGTCTGTTTTGAAGTATTTTCTTTGTCTTCTTTCCGTTCAGGAGATTATGTACTGTTAAGTTTTACTTGTAGAGAGAAAGCCTCGTTATGAGTGCCGTTTTCTTTCGATTTGCCGCCAATTCTTTTCGTCCATCAATCTCACTCCAGAATTTTTTCTTTTACTTTGGTGTAACATTGAAAAGATATTACCTCTAGAAAATGAAGCCCCTTTCAGAGTAAATTGCCGTAAACCGATTATTACAGTTATTAAAACTTGCCTACAACATTCCTAAAATTTTTGCGATAATTTAATTTGCTTAATAGACTGCACTTATTGGGATGCCTTTTAAAGGAAAACTGTTTAAACGCCGGCCACAGAACATGAAAGAAAACCGAAGTTTATTTTTGGTGAGAAGCCCTCGATAACTTGCTTTATTCTCAACATAGTTAAAGTAAACAACAACAGGCAGTGCATTGGTCTTCATGCGTATTTCTTTTTTACTTCGTCACGCGATTTCGACAGCAAACGCGGTGTTGATTATTGCTTAAGAAAATAAGTAAAATATCGACAGCCACTTGGCTAGAAACACTTTGATTATGCTGATAGGAGCTTTGAAGTTTACGCAAACGCGAAAGGTTCGCCTGAAAGTATTGAGATACACCAAGTCAACCGTATAGTGGAGAGTGCCTCAACCGCAGATTGCGTGTAAAAGATTAGTCAGAGGCTGATCCACAATATTATTTCATTCATATGTTATAAGAGCATTATTACCTAAGTAATATTATTGTCATATTTTAGGGGTTAGTGCGAACGATCTTGAACAAAATCGAGTATTTCGAAATAGATCTGTTTGAAATTTAGATGAGATACCTCGTTGCTAAAACGTAGCTGCGGAATTAGTTACAAAAAAAAATATAATAGCATGCCTCAAGTAAGTGGTATCAATGCTAGAGCTGTAATTGAAGTTGAAATACTCAAGTGGTATTTGGTTTTCTCGACCAATCAAAATGTCGTATAAGGAATATACATATATCAGCTTAGCTCTCAGGTATTGATTAAGAGATAAGTTAATGCTGTGCTAACCCAAAGTGACCAATAACTGATTTCTAAGGGTAGCCATCTTAAGTACCCTGAATTGATTTGTGAAATTGAAGAAAAGATCAAAGATGAGTTGCAGCACACTGTATCAGTGTGTTGATATCATCATAAACCTTAATATGGTATGAAACTATCAGAATCTAATTTTGAAAAAAGACAATTGCAACAACAACAACAACAACAAACAACGCAAAACAAACCGATAGGCACGTAAGCGATGAGATGTTGTACAAGATGACACCTTCACAGTGCTGCGTCGTTCAACGAAAGATTGAAGATGAAATCAACCCGTCCCACCCGTCCCTTCGCTTCCTCTGCAGCTGTGAAATCCTATTTTTCGCCATTGGCGACGGTTTCCTCTCCCCGTTACCTCAGTTCCCGATCGCTGTCGTACACGCCCGCCGTTGTCGTATTTGAGGTCCCATTGTGGACGCGAAGGGAAAAGGG